TTATCAGCGTGTACCTTGATCATCATGCGCACTTCTAGGGCATTGCACACTTCTGATCTCATTTTGTGACTGATGACATTTATAACTGTCATCGACCGTACTAATCTCAATTAAGATAAGTTGCAAGAATTAGTCTACGTACATGTAGGCGCAGTATCCACAAATAAGTCAAACCGTTCGTTTTAGATCCTTTGCAATCGAAACAACGATTCGTGTTACATAACTGTAAAGCGATTCGGTAACTCCATGCTGCCATTCGTCAACAATAAGTTCATCAAAAAGTGATATCCTTATCAAGCCGTACCAATAAGTATCCTAAATGCAATACAGCTTTGATATCCAATTAATATCGAGGTGTTTACACAGTTTCATACATCTAAGCCAATGCATTGGATACGTACTTGCTATATATCGTGTTCGCCAGAGCTTACCATCTCCCTATTGTTGTTTTAATCCGCATCAATCAGAGCTCAATATCAGATGATGTGAAATGGATGCATTTTGACAAAAGCCTCAAATACCGAATAGTTCCTCGCGCAAAACGTTCCCCTGTGTAACGCCTTTCTCTCCCTGATTTTGAACAAACGGGATACGTTTTAGGAGATTAACTGAATGTATATACAGATTGTCGTTCAGTGTTTTACGATTACAGTCAGAGTTACGAACGTTTTGTATATTTGAAGAGAAACGGAGAGAAATATCATTTTGGATGAAGCTTTCGTTTGATCGGGATGTTGAATAGCGCTATACAATCGTGACTATTCATGCGTTGACAGCACTATAATGCCTAACATATTCACATTAATTAACAATTGAATTGTATGCGTACATCTCTTTATTCAACCATTGTTATTTTATCTATGATACCTGACCAAAAAACTCGTTCATTCCACACATGTTCATGCCTTTTCTCTCAAATATCAAACAATTGCTCGCATTTCATAGTTCTAAATTGAAACTCAACGTTCGCCATACGTGCTCTATCCGCACTTATAGAGTGGCGTTACACAATTGCGCATAAAGCTGGTATCGCGCTGATATTTATGTCGCGGTTATCAGCCAGTGTGAGTTGGTAATTGCTACGCCATACACTCTCTATAAAACAACTGGATGAAAGGGATATGCTCATGTTCTAAACTTTCATAAAGAGTTTGTATGGCACTCTGACCCAAACCTGTAACATCTTGATTGTTACGTCGATTTACTCTTCCCTTCATAGGTTTGTCAATTGGAAGTTTTCATTGGTAAGCATTTCGCACCCTCCCATCACAGGGCTTCAAAATCCAGAATATATTCTTTCTTTTTACCCCTGCGATAAGCAGTTACCATTTCCCCGATTAATAACTCGCAATCTTATTGCGACAGAAATCATGTATAAGTCATTGCGCATAATTAGATCACGTGATTCAGTTAAATCGAGCATTTCCAAATTGGTTATAGCAGGGGGGGGGGAGAGAAGGAGGTACGGATTCTGGACACCTGCTTAGTAGGATGGCATTTCGAAGCCTGTCACATTTGGGAAATGTGCAACAATTTTGATGAACTTTCTTCAATCGTTAATTAAGCGCAAACAGGCTTTGATCAAAAATCAAAAATGAAACTTCCGGCTTCCAAACTTATGGAGGGGAGTGTAACCCATTGTACTTCTAAATCATTATACCATAGTCAGTATGAATAAATTCAGGTTATTAGAGATATCAGAAAGGGTTTGATGGGAAAGTAAGATAAAAACAACAAAAAAACGGCTGGGAGGTCGAGGAAAAAAATTCATATATTCAAGGAAATCAGAATTTATAATCTAAACATACAGATATGAATGCTGTCATGATACTGCATAAAACCTTTTTGCCTTTACATATCGATAATTTTAAAAACTTTATCAAATCACCTAACAATTTATCTTTCAAATAGATGAATTGTACTTACTTTAAATTCCGTCGTTATGTCATGAATAAGTTCAAATCCGTTACTTGATGAAGGGATACAACACGAAGCTATTTGGCGCCGTTATTGTCAAAATTGAATTATTTTGATCGAAGACAAAGTCCATCCATCGAATACCTCTTTGATTCTTTACGTAAAAAGGCTAATGACCTTGTTCGTAGGCTAAACAATGTAACCAAAGTGGTCGTTTGATAGCAAATTATTTATTTCTCAGTACTTTTCAATTGTCGTGTGGGTCCATAATACATATATACGTAATATTTTTCAAGAGATTATAGTCCCTCGCTGCATCCCAGTGTGTTAAGCCCCGATGGTAACATGAAAATAAAATGAAGCACGCTGAACCGAGGGGCTCGTGATAAGCCCCTGGATACCACTCGGGTAGTCAAAGAGGAGTTAATTTCGACCATTGTTAGTACGCCCATTATTTATACGATCCATCCTTGGACCAAGGGTATTTCACTACTTGAATTTAAGCATAAATGAAGTCCTTTGAAGAAGGATGATACGATCATCCATTACACTGTGTCCAGATGCAATATCTGTATTCTACTATAAAGCACGGTAATTGTCTGTCATCCCATTTGTCAGTCATTCCGTGTCCGAACATCTCCCTGACCGTTTGACCTTGCAATCGGGCCCTCATACTTGGTCAACATACTAAGTGGGTCGATGGACATCATGATAAATGTCAAACGAATCAATAAGGCAGAAACACAGATTCCGAAAACTCTTAATAAACGCTGACTTGATCCTATAGTTTCATATTCTTACTTTGAAATATTTGATAAGTGTATCACTGTGTTCTAGAGGAGAAGCGTCCGTGCAATCAAAACAGTTACATATAGATATGACGTTGGTGCAACTAAAGCAACTCGAAATCATATTGGAGAAATTGATAGAGACAAGAAAGAGACAATTGCCGAAGAACCCTAGATTATTCCCCAAGTGCAATCAGAGCTTTGGCCAGAAAATCACTAATGCAGCTTTTTGTCTGAATTCAATAGTGATTGAATTTACATTGAATGTCTAAACGAGCTCGCTTTCACTACGAACAAACGTTGGTGCTACTAATTATCCCCGCAATACAAAATTCATTAAATCTATGGCTCTGCCAATATTCTCTTTTCACTGACATCACAGAAACGACCAATTATAGTAACAATACATCTATAGAAAATAGTCCATCAATTTGAATAGCATTGTGTTTTCTACCCCAGTGGAATGCGGAATTGGCAAATATGCGCGCGCAGCTAAATTAAAATGTAGTTTGTTTCCGGAATACAGCGGAACTCTCGTCTGTCGTTGAGACTCGATTAAAATTTACAGGACTGTGAAAATAATTGATGAACTACTTTGGACCAGAAAAATGAGTGACATCGCTTCTGATTTTTTTAAACATTTTATAAATAGCACTTTTCATGATTCGTGTAGGCAGATTTCGTTTTGTGTTCAAAGGTGTTTTCATTTCAAGGCTATTTGCCCAATGAAACCATTTATAACCACCCACAATCACATTTTAATCAAGCTACAAATGATTTACATGAAGTGTAAGGTTTATTAATATCAGATTACGATTCCCGAGTTCATGATGATAACTTTTTGAAAATACAAAATTAATATAATTTAGCCAAATAATAACATTTATCACAACTCAAACTAAAATGATGAAATTGTGATTGGTCGGATGAAGTCACATGATTTTGCTGATTCGTTAGATTAAGTGTCGAAAGCATTTTGAATTTGACTTTATATTCAAAATTAGAAACAGAATCATTATGAAAGAAATTCGTAATCAGAAGTATCCAATCATTGAATCCGACTAACCCCCCATTAATTTTACTTAACAATTTGACCTCTCAACTAATAAAACGAATTAATGAATAAATTAACCAAGATTATACGAACCGATAGCTGCTAGCGTCCTTTGAACCTTGGTTCCGAACTCAGACCCACTATATCGAAACATCATAGAGCTGATCCGTAGATTATCAATCGACTGTATTTTCTATTTTTTCGATAAAGCAATGCTATTAATAAGGATTTCAAGCTTAATATGCCATTAATCTTTTTATTTATCAATAGTTATTCGAGTTCAGTATATTCATGTTCTGCTTACGTAATGTTCAGTGTTCAATAATGCTCGATTACCAATTAACACTTTTTCACTTTGTTATATTTAATTGAAATTGAACTAATTCTGCCAAGCTATATGTACTGTTGCAAAGTGCAGTTTTTATCCATCTATTTAAAGACTGCTGAAGAATACAGACAACTTTATCAGGGAATTTGCAACATAATCCATATTACTAACTACATTTTCATATACCAAGAACAAAAACCTTTTCAAGAGTCGTAATTCTAACGTTTTATAACAATACAAGGCCGAATATGCTTTGAATTGCTGCGTGAAATTCGAAACTTCTTTCACAATCGCCTAATGAATTTCTTTTTAATTTTTTGAAAGCAATCTATAATTCTTGCGAGGCCCAGTCTACGGTTGTTTGTTATAGATGGAAAGTCTTTGTTTTTGTCTGTGCGGCATACACAATATAACTAAGTCATTGTTCTTGGAAGTTCGATTTTCCAACTACCAATTCCCAACCACGATAACATGTCTCGCAAACAAATCACGACGTTCCTTGGTATAGAGGATATACAATTTCAATTTCTAATTTTGATCGTGTGTTAACATCTATGTACGTACATCGTACATCGTATGTTTGGGGGATTTCACAAATTCATCAGATTTGACAAACATTTCCATTTCAGACTTTTATTAACTGAAGAAAAAATCAAATATTAACCCAACCAGGCTGTAACATTACACCAAAAAGAGACCCGGGGTTGCCAAACTTTTGGAGGGGAGTGTATATAGTGTGGCTATCATCAAAAATATCCGCCATTTTTACAAACGCCGAACGCCAACCGCCAAACACAGTCCACAAAAGAGTTGGAGACTAACACTATGTCAAAACTTCTGGAAGTGACATAAAAATGAAATTAAACATTAAAATAATAGACACTTGCACTATTTATAAATCTAAATATATTTATTCTCTCTATGTTATATAATATATTTTTAAAAATATCCCTATAAAATCTAGTTCTATAATACAGCAAAAGTATGTAAAATGTCAAGCACTCAATATGATAATAAAAATTCCACCTTTCTCTTCGGAAACATATAGTTTGATGAGGAACTATTATTAAAATAACAATGAATGGCGAAAGAAGAATCGAATCGAAATATAAACAAATTCCAATTTTGTTTCCTTATATGTGACTCCTAGTTGGGTACTATGGCCAAGAATCACGATACATTGTAATCGCCAAACACTTCGTTCGGTGTGATCGTACTTTCTCTTTAAATTCTAGATGCTTTATTCATGCGACAAACAAACAAAATTCCTCGGAGAATGGATACATGCAATTTGTTTCATAATGGTAAGAGAAATTTTAAAGTTAATATGATGATAATAAACGTTTTGTAAAACAGACGCGTCGTCTTATTTTGAGGTATAAAGTGTAAGAAATTAATATACATTCTATTCTAAAATAAAGAAGAATCAATATTTACAGGACTAGACTAGTTTTTGTTGTCAAACTCCCTCCACGGTGCTCACATACAAAAACAGCACTTCGTTCAGTGCAATCGTAGATAATCGTCCTTGAAACACACTGAATGAACTGCTATCAGGTATATCAAAATACTTTTGATTTTAAAAAACATTATATACATGTCACTTTTTGTAAACGCATCGGACCTAAACTTCAATTGAGCATGTTATCGGGTATGTAAAGTTATCACTTCTTATCAGATATTTGGTCCTCATATCATAATTGCAATATTAACTTCAATTAACATCACAAGATCCTAGAAGTTAGTACTATAAACGATTTTCTGTCTAAACTAAGTGATCATTGGATCATCACATCTGCAATTCGAACGCAATAATGGAATGTGACAGATCTTCATCCTACAATCAGAACGATCCAAGCCTCGTTCTCGCTAGATCTCCGTAAGTTGACCTTTCTCTGTACATTTTCACAGGGTGATATGACCTTTTGAAGTTTTTATAAATGTTAACGTCTTTTAGACACATACACCATGCCTATATAAAGCACATGTTTTCATAATATATGTATTAAAGTTTAGTCTTATCCATTTCCATTCCCATATTGTCCATGCCTCCATTGACGTAGTCTCCTCCACTGATCGTTGAAACCCTCTTTTCGTCAAGCACGTCAGCATCCATGGCCTGAAAATGGCACATATGATTATTATACGCTCCCTTATAAGTATGTAAGTGACAACTCCACTATTCATTGACCCACATAGCAGGACAAATCAAACTAATAGTAGTGTTATCAAAAATGGATTTTCTTTCAACATAGATAAATCTTGATTTCAGCTAAGCAGGTAAGATTTCTATGCTGAAAATGCTGCTTAACAAACTTAAAAATGTTCCAAAATCAACTACAATATAAATTGGAGAATTAAAAAACCGTCCAGGATAGAGCAAATGAAAAAGAAATTGATGAATGAGTGGCAAAGCTTTTTCTGATATGGCAACAACAAAAATGTTACCAGTTGTGTGCTATCTAAGATACAAATGTTATGAGGGTTTCCTCATCTATAGTTCTTTAGATAGAACGCCATACCTCCTCATCGTGATCCATCCCACACTGGAGACAATCCTGTGTAGATTTAGGAAGACAACAACAGCAGATGTTCGCAACAGGCATCATATAGCGGGGCTCAACGTTTTCTGTTCGCTGGACACCTGCAAAACAAATTAATATACATGGGACTGCTTAAGATTTTAGTTTTGGACTTTTAATTTTTCATAATTCAAAATAAAATATGATTTTCCCATTTTCAAGTGGGTGCAAATTAACAAAGTCACATAATTTTAATTTTTCATAATTCAAAATATGATTTTTTCGATTTACTAGGGGGTGCAAATTAATTTTCACGTGACAAAATTTTAATTTTTCACATTCAAACTAAACTATGATTTTCCAATTTTCAAGTGGGTGCAAATTAACTTTCAAGTGACAAAATTAAAATTTTTCAGAATTCAAAATAGGATTTTCCGATTAACTAGGGGTACAAATTAACTTTCAAGTGACAAAATTTTAATTTTCATAATTCAAAATATGATTTTCCCATTTTCAAGTGGGTGCAAATTAATTTTCAAGTGACAAAATTATAATTTTTCACAATACAAACTAAGATGATTTTTTCCTTTAAATAAATAAAAAAATGCCAATGGTATAACGTCTCTTAAATCGAAATATTTAACCACTGTACTGTATTGTAAAATTGTTAAATGTAGGTTTACCATGTAACTGTACTGTAATTGTTTTTTTGCAATTGCTGTAACATGCTTATTCTTTGAAATAAAAAAATTATTAAAAAAAAAAAGATATGATTTTCCCACTTTCAAGTACGTGGGTGTAAATTATTTTCAAGTAAGGGCTAATTGATTACAGGTTCCACTGACATTACCTGCAACGCAGCTAAATAGAAGGCCTACAACCATAGTAACAGCAGTTCCCAGCATAGGGTACCACAGGTAAGACAACCCATACCACTTCTCTAGGGGATTATACCTGGAAACAAAAAGAGATTGTGTACTTAATATCGGAGTCCAGGTTCGATTCCAAGTTAGGTACTACTAATTAGTAATTTTTTCTTGCATTCAGCAAATATCGATGAATCAACTTTATTACTATGAGTCCTTTCAAGATATTCTTGATCTAGCAAAGGGAGATCGTATTGTAATACTGGGTTGGTTCCAAGTAAGGTTTTTGCTTTCTTCTTGAATTCTGCAGTAGATATCAAATAATTTACTTTAATATTCTAAATGTTAAGATCATTGAGAAATATGCAACATTTATAATTAATTTACATTGATGGTTTCCATTTAATTAAGTCTATTAGATTTACCTCTCGTCATCACATTCACATGTTGTACTATACCAAGTAGCATTGTGAATAAGCCATTTATTAATTTCATTGAAAAGCTCCACTTACTCTGGTTCCATCATTGGCGTTGTTATGTTCTGTGTCGTCATCATCTGTGTTGTTGTGAGCAACTCGGTCATGTTCGTTGTGATGTTTGCTACTGGGCACATGTCGATTCTAGTCGGTTTGAAGGATAGATTTGTGTTGAGGGAATACTGGCCAACGTTGATCCAGATAAGGACGCCAAGGGCTACAAATGCGCCCACTGATGCGCCCTAAAAATAACACACATTCGTAAAATCTCAATTTAAGACGCTGATTCAAAGCGATGAAGTGTATTTTTCAGTGTTTCTCACAATCACAAAAGTACCCGTAAAGAGATGCATGATCAAGAGAGTTGGTCTACAAGATTTGAGAGGTAGACATGACAAAATCATTAGAATTGAAAGTGGGGGAGGGGCGTTCATGATTTTAGAATCACTGCCAAGATCAGGACTCTTTGATATTTCTTGACTATGAGAAAAATATCTTAAATCTGTGTATATTGCCCGTCTCCCTTAAAGTATCATCAACAGCTTTTCTTTGGGTTGTTTTTGTCGGTTTGTCGGGCTTACGTTTATGGCCTGATGGCAATAGTATCCCAAAAGATTAATACTTAATTGTGTTGAATGTATCGATTATCAAATATTAGTTTACTTACAATTCCCGTAGCACATGGAAATATAGCCCCCAACAAGTACATTCCAAGGACAGGTCCGGTGATAGCTCCAGTGAAACTGAAGGCGAACTGAAACAAGAGGACACATCAGCGTTTTTAATCATTTATTACATTCATCGAACATATACGAATATGTCTTATCACTGTCACGTTACAAACCCTAATTAGTGTAAAACGTGCACGTGACCGAATGGTAATATTCATGATCACATGTATTGAAAAAATATTCTAGAGTAGAACGACTGATTTTCTGTCTAGCACGCCAAATTCAAAAACAAAAATTGCAAATCAGGTTTATTCAGGGTACTTTTCGAATGGGTCCGCAAAATAACCCAGATGCGAGTAGAAATAATCTTGATTTACGTCATTAAAAATTCACAATTCAGTCAAATTAATATCATATTTGAAATCTACATGTAAAATTACATCTAGAAATGTGGTTTTAAAAAGTGTTTATCAACTTTGAAAAATTTATTTTCTTTGAAAATGTGACTTCTAGCTCGGGGAGATTCGCCATAGACTCCATGCTATAAAATCACAAAAAATGAAATATCTTTTCTTTTAGTGGACAGATAATATTTTGCTTTACTGGACATATTTTCATTAGTATAAGTATCAGACACATAAGGGTTATATGAAAATTGATCCACTTAAATTGATAATATTCAAGTTTAAGGGAACTTTCTTATATACCTGCCATGTTAATTGACCCGAATCAGCCACCTGGTGGTGAAACTGGTAACTACCTACTCGCATTTGGGTAATTGGTATTTGACACATTTACGTTACTGTTGAATATGTTACCTGTAAGACTGTTCCCTCGAGGAATGTGACCAAAACAGCAAATCCTGTTCCCAATATACCAAAGATCAGCACTGAAATGAAACACATAAAATGCATTAGTTTTGTATATGCACATGTGGATAGAATTTCAATGTATCGTTCAGCTTATTAAATCAAAGCATCTTGCATTGAAAGAAAGATTTGATGATTTAAGGAGAATTGGAGTGTATCTATTGGAGGTTAATGAACAATTAAAGAGGCAACAAGGACTGTAGAGAGAAAATTCGAAATCTTTTATTTTTTCTGAGCTTTCAGGTCAATATTTGGCTTAACATCTTCTTTGACATACCTATTTTCTTAAAATGTATGGATAAACTATCAATATCAGCATTTAGAAGTGTAATTTCAGTTCAAAGTTTCTATAAAGGGAGTCCCACTTATAGATTTTTAAGATCTACCAAGTTTCAAGAGGAATATCAGCTGAAATAATGTTCATCCAGGGGGTTTCTTTGGAGATAATAAAATTACATGTTAGTCTTGATGAAATATCCAAACTTAAATATATTTTGGCACTAGTCGAGGATCGTTGAATGCACTAATTGTTGCACCTTTAATGGACAATGAGGTAGTTGATATATAACATATTTTTACACTGCATATTAAATATCATTCCTTTTACTTTTTGAAGATTACTTATCGACTGAATAGATGTGCTAACAGATGTGCTTAGAGAAAAAGATGTGACCACACTTACCAAGTCCCCTGTTAACCCAGACTTGCTTAGTGTTAGAGATATGACCATATTTCCACTTGAGGAGGTCCTCCCAGACAACAGAGGAAATACCAGCAAGTGATGCAGCACATGTACTGAAATAAAAAATGAATATATTTTGACTCATTTATATTCTTTATTACAATTTACCTTCATTAATCCACACCATTTCACTTAATTTGAACTTGGGTTATGCCGTTTATCAATATCATGTCTTTTGGACGAGTTATCTCGTCAGGAAGACACAAGAATTCAAATTGCTTATATTTATCTCGCCCAAAGACTGTTTACTTTTCATATATACACAATGCACGAATACATAGAACAATTTACTGTTAAATTTTGCGTGAACGATAACATTTAGGATATTGTTCAATTTGGTGATTTCTCACAGGATGTTTATATGTTAAACTAGAGAATGCCAAAACTTTCTCTGTCATTAGGTCAAAATGTAAAAGAAATACAAAATCAAAAATAAGTTCACGGACTTCCCATTCTTGTTATAATACAATAAAATAAATCTAAATAATACAATAATCATTAAGGTTGAACCTTTACTTGATCCAAGTGACATTTCCTCATTAATGGCACCATTAGCGTAAGATTCACAATAAAAGAATTAAAAATAAAAACAAACCTCAGAGTTCCACTAAAAAGTGTAGCCACGAAGAGTCCGGGTATCCCAGGATAATTCAGTACTTCCATGACGAAGTATGGAGCAATCTGATTGGGGTTAGCCAGTTCCCCATTCATGACGGGATCGCACCCCTTCTTATCGTAGTAAGCGTAGATGACCAGACCGCAATAACAGGTGACCGTCATCAGCAGAGCGATTCCAGGAATGTTCAAGAACACAGACCTAAAAAGAATGACGTTCGTTATTGTGGTGAATCAAGAACGCAGACTGCCCGTGAAGAGTGGCGAGTGATAATGATCCCATGATCTTTCTAAAAGCCTATCTTTATGTGTAGAAATGAACTTTTATTCAGTTGGTCTATGGAAGACATTCTCAGAGGAGAATTACTTCCACTCCTGCTAGTGGTATTTATATTCACTTCGAATTCTCTTGTGCATGTTTAAATGAACGTTTTCAGGCAATTATTCAGGGATTCGACTCTTAGAACAATCAAGAAATCCAATCGTGATTTGAAACCACTATGGTGAATATCTAATTAGATTTTCTAAAAGCATGTAGACAATTCAATAACGACATCTATTAATCTACTACAATAAATTGCCTTGATACGTTTACTCTAAAATGGCAAAACATGTAAAAATGTATGAACACGGGAGACTTCCATTAGGGCAAAGAAATAGTTTGGCTAATGACCAGAAAGTTATGGGATGACCCTGTAGAAAGTGTTGAACAGACAAAGGTATTGGGGTCCAAGGGCAGAACAATCGCTCCACAGATCTACTCACAATTTCGCCTTCCTTTGATTTGGCAATGACGCGTAACGTTGATAGGTTGGCTGATTAATACCATAGTAACCTAACCATCCGAATATTCCTCCGATGAAACAACCCCAGAAAGTTACTCTGGTACTTGGATCGGGGTCCATCCTGAAATAAAAAATAATACAAATTAAACCGGTTAAGAAATTCGTGCCATTGAGCTGAAAGCGATTGGCCGAACTCTGATCAAGCAGAAGTGATATGTAAAAGGCCGTTGACAGGATTCGGAAAGGCAAGGCGACTTAAAACAGCTAGCTATAGACAAGGCAAAGTAAAGTCAGAGGTTATTTACAATTTCGGACATGATGTCAAGTTCCACTGAAACGTCCAAATATTTATAATTTTTGTGATTTTTTTTCTTAAAACATATTTTTCAGTAAAATTGCATAAATATTGTGTAATAAAATGTTTTGATGGTACTATGTGTAAAATCTTATCAAAAATGATTGACTTACACAAAGAAGTTGAGTCTTCCTCCTCTGTCAGATATTTCAAACACCTCAGCAAACCCTCCAACGGCGATTGTTCCCTACAATAGAATCACGAACGTCACCAGTGTATACAATGATGCAAACAGATGAAAAAACATGCACACTCCCCTCCATAAGTCCATTAGCTCCCCCATTGAACTACGTGTTAAAGCCTCTTTACTTTTGGATTTTTATTCACTTAACAGATTAAATAATTTTCAAAATATGAGGGAGGTTTAAAGCTACGCGTTTTGGAGAATCTGTACGAAAACGTGTACTATTACGAACCCCGGCGGTTTCTGTCTCCCTTTCAATGGTTTTGTACACGTTCGACTTATTACAATTAAATTCCTTATACATTATACTCAATCGGACAGGTAAACACTGCGAATTAAGTAAGTAATCCCTAGTGGACAATACATGTAATTCAACACATTCACGTCCGTCTTCTTTTAAAAACGTTAACAAGGCTATTGATTTCTGTGCAAATTCATCACTCTGGTAATATATTAATAATAACTTAAGTTCATTTATTTCAGAGTAAAATGTTTTATTTTCGACGTTTCGTTTTGAAGGCTATTGTCAATATTTCAACAACTTCCCGATGAGAGGATGTCGCATAATGCATGTTTGGAAGGCAAACAACATAAGAATATGTAAAATTATCATAATAGTCGGAGGTTAATGTATCTATTTGATCGCATCCTCCTAAGCAGGTATCTAGAATCCGTACCTCCTTCTTCCCCCTGCTATAACCAATTTGGAAGCGCCCGATTAAACTGAAACACGTGGTCTAATTATGCGCAATGACTTATATATGATTTCTGTCGCAGCGTAGGGACAGCCAATCAGATTGCGAGTTCTAAATCGGGGAAATGCTAACTGCTTATCGCAGGGGGTAAAAAGAAAGAATATATTCTGGATTTTGAAGCCCTGTGATCGGAGGATGTTTGATGGAGAATGGAGGTTTGCCTCACCTGAATTGCCACTGCCAGCAGACCGGCCATTGTGAATAACGCTTGGAAGGCATCAGTCCAGATAACTGCTTTAAGACCACCCTAGAAAAACACACACATCGTTCAGTTACCATTTGAACATCGGCAAGATCATTATGCCATTTTAGAGGCGGTGGGTGTGTTATACCTGTACTACGGACTGTGGAGTCTATTATTCAACCATTCCTGTTTTTAATTTTCCCTTTTGACTGTTTTTCTTTTCATGATAGGTTTTAACAAATTTTGGACATTTCCCTCTTAATTCTCGTGCAACTTTTCAAATTAAAAATTAAATAAAAAAGTTCTCGTACTTATTATGTATAATAGTTCTTCATTATACAAAGTGAGGCATTGCATATGCAATATAGTTTACTTACGGTAGTAGTGTAGAAAATGGCGATACCAGAACAGGCCAAAATGGAAGCCCATGTTGGGAAGCCAGTCACAGATTCCAACGCTGTCGACGGAGTAAAGAGTGACACACCCATATTCATGATCTGAAGGTACAATTGCATGTGCTAGAGTTCCTTTTATCAAATGACAGAACATTTTGTCATCTTTACATATACAGTGAAACCTGTATATATGAACACCTCTATATTCTGAACACCTCTCAATGTGAACACCTAATTTTAACACCTGCTAATCCAAACATTTTAGCTGGTCCTAGTGGCGTTCTTGTTAGGCAGGTTATATAAGTTACAAATTAGGTTTGTCGTGCTTGTAAATACATGGGCACATACACATAAACTGCTGGGATATAACGAAAGAAACGGACACGAAACTGGTCCGATTTTCAGCACTGGCACCCGGCCGATGAGTATTTTGTTCAATTTTGAATACAATTTTGAACAAAATACTCAATCGGCCGGGCGCCGTAGTGAAAATCGGAGCAAATGTGACCACGGCATCATGCTGGATATTAGTTCTACAATTCATTTTGTAAGATAATTTTTGTAATTTCAATTTTTTGTCAGTATTTGGAATTTTTGAGACAAAAGTTGTAAAGATCAAGAAGTTGAGGGCCAAAACATTACTACTCGAATTCTAATTACTCTAAATCGTTGTGTGGAACATTATGGATCAAATGTATTTAATTAAACGTTTACTTACCAGTGCAAGGATGAACAAAAGTGTTGACGTAATCTTGGGAACTTTTGATTTATACCTCAGCTCCAAATACTAGAAAGCAAAGAAAAAGTCAAAATAATTCACTGGAAGTTATGTTGTAGGTCTAAGTTCAATGTTACAGTTCAATATCTAAATGAATTTAGCATTAACCCAATCCAAATTATTTCATGTACTAGAGGTATTGTGCTTTGTCAACTTCAACTACAGTATAATCGGACTTTCATATCTTCTCAGAGCATGGAAAATGCTATGTGATCACGATGAATGACAAACTAAATCTTTTTTTGAATTTTCAAATAACTTACCTCGTAAATACTGGCAATTTTGAGGGGGTAGAAAAGTGGTACAAAGAGCAGCGCTGTCACGAAGACGGCAACGAAGAGGGGCAGGATAAAGATGTGCCATTGTTGAACACCATCTAGATACATCTCAGCTGGGATTCCCAACACGTAAACAGCAGCTGCAATTAAAAATGAACGTTAAAATAAAATATGCAAGAAAGATCGAGAGTATTAGAACTGTCACAATTTCTTTACCGACAACATGTACTCGTGCCATTTTTTTCAATAAGTCCGAATGTTAGGATTTATTTCAAGATTTATTTCATAAAGTGGACTTGGTTATTTGGTTATACAGGGTGGTCAAAAAAAACGGAAACCCTGCATTTTCCTTATATCTTTGTCATTTTGAAAAATTACTCCCTGATATCTCACACATTTGTACATTATTCAATTTCCTGCCACCCTACCTAATTTCATGACCATCAGTCTAATAGTCACAATTTTACAGCACTTTGAATAACATGCTTCAGATTTGGCCATCATTGCGCTGGTAGGCAAAACAGCACAGTTGTCAATGCCCCGAATGCACTCCTCAGCAGGTATGGCCTGAATGACACGGATGATCTCACTTTTGAGGTTTGCAATTGTCCTGAGGTCATTCTCATATACTCTATCTTTGCCATCTCTACAGGTAGGGACATTTTAGACGACGATGACAGGTTTCCTGACAGGGCAATAGCTGGGCTTTCAATAGCAGGGGCGAGTGTCCGAAATCGCCGTTTGTTTTCGATAATTCGCCGTTTGTTAGAAGTCAAATATTGTCTAAGTTTTGGGGGAAAATATAAGTCTTCTATACACTATCCTTTATTTTATTCAGCGATCTTGTTTTGCACTTCCTTGTCTATGATTTGTACCTCAGTTTCGAACTGCAATGGAACTCACTATAATCGTAAGGATCACTTGATCTCATTATAGTAGTAAACACCGTCCAATTTTGTACCTGTTTGGGCTATGGATTTTAGATCACTATCTGACCACTATCATGTGCATGATAATTCAAATTCCAACCTTTGGTATAATCAGAGTTGGTAATTTTTCACTGGACATGCAGTTACATGTATGATTGATACAACTCTGTCCAACCAGTCACAGTACAGTCTACCCTGCGTCAGTGCGTGCAGAGTCTAGTTGAACTACTGAAGACGAAGAAGCTCTCTTTTAAGAAGTGAAGTCAAACGAATGCAAAGGGTAAGTACAGTCCTTCCAATGGGTGTAAAATTGTATTAATCAGTTAAAGGCCCCATATAAAGTTTAAACCACTTTGGCTTATATTTTTGTCTTATCCAATGTTATCAAAGCGTGAAATGTGAAACTTTTTATTAATTTCAAAAATGTTTTTGAAGGACTTTTTGTTTAAAATATCGTGAATTTATTCAAAACTAACTTTAAGAGGTCACACTAATCCTTTAAAGCGATAATTCACACCGATGTATAGCAATCATCCTCACTTGTTCTTTTGCCGACAAAATCAAGAAAATTGGTTGATAGGTGAGCGAGCAATGAACTCATCCATGCATGAAAGTGGTTCAGGGAAAGATGCATTTCAAAATTTTAATTCTCATAGAAACCAATGGTAAACTAATATTAAAAACATATTCATCCTTTTAACCTGGTTAGACAGTCAAAATTGGTTTATTGTTTAGCATATTTAGAAAATATTGACATTGAAAAATGTTGCCACCTAAGTGATGTCACGATGTGGTCACTTAGGTTGAAAATATTTTCGATATGCTAAATCATTAAATTGGCACATTAGATATAACATTTTATTTTTAACATGGTGTGTCCGTTATATATTGGTGTTAAAAAGATATAGAGGTTCTTATATGAGTACCTGTGCTAGATCGTCCATTCTTGATGAGATTTAATAATTCCTCTTTATGGAGTCGCAGACGAGATAAAGAAACATTGGAGAGGTTAAGCTACCGTTTAAAATCCAAAACGCAACTTAAACGTATCAATCGGCCCTATACAGATACATGTAGAGTTCACACATAAATAGCCGTTCAGCTCTAGTGTTTGTTAATGCCTTGGTCACATAGGCTCCGATTTTCACTGCGGCGCCCGGCCGATGAGTATTTTGTTCAAAATCGGCCGGCGAGCCCGGGCATCGTACGGGCGCCGGGCGATGATCGCCACTCATCGGCCGATTTTTAGACATCGTACGGGCGCCGGCAGAGTTTCATCGCGGAGATAAAAGTTGCCGATGTCTTGGCGATTTTTTCTCAACCAAACTCATCGGTACCTACCCGGCCGTGTCCCGCCCGATCATCGTACGATTATCTTACGGCGCCCGGTGGCATCGCACGGTCATCTTTGGATTTTGCGTGCTGATTTGTTGGATAAATCTTAATAATGATTACTTATAAAGTGATATAAAGGTTTTAAAAATAATGAGGTAAGGAATTATAATTACTACACACTGTCAGAGATTTTTATAAAATATAAATGGAACGATTAAGCTTACTGTATATAAAACAATGGCACACATTTGAATGGCTGGGTGGGTGGGTTGATCTAGTCGTTCTTATATTGACATTAATCGTGTATGTCTGTCATACATTGAATAGAGTGTTACATTTTTATGCGTATATTCACTCATGCATATACCATTACAAATCATTTATTTTAAAAACCTTCGGAATGTTTTTGTGAATACAGTAATTTCAAGGGTCACAATTTTACTACGATTAATTACGTCTCAATTACAACGTAATATGCCAAAGGCTAAGGATAGAGGGGATAAGGCCAATTTCTTTGAAGCCATATTTTTATGACCAAACTAATTCTCTTTACAAGAACAGACGAAAGAAAGTTGGAGAAATAGGGAATTTTGCTAATAGCATCGGATGGACAGGTAGACATAGTATTTTTTTATATGAAAGATCTAAAAATGAATTAAGATCAGGGTGCACTTTGATGAAAAGACCACGTCCAGTATGGCAAGTGATTTTAGACGGTCATATCTTTCACCATGAGTACCTTCTGGGCACAAATAGAGTGTTTTTATTAAAACAATATGTTTTCTTTCAATTGAAGTACCCATGATGATAAAAATATCAATCAAACAATTCGAAAAATGATGAATAGGGACCCCATGTCAACATTTTTTCTAAATATTGAACCTATTTACTCAAAAGAGGATCTTCTTTTTCTGATTTTTATTGCATGAAAACATTATTATCCTGGAAGTCCTGTTTATCAAAGTATTTCGTTTTCAAATGTTGCATTCACGCCATGTGGAACAGTCATACTGGGTAATACAGGGATTAAGTATAAATCTAGAGGCCTGTAAATCGACCGATGTCCTGGCGGGTCCCGTACGGCCATCGGTCGATAGCCTTGCGATACCCGTGCGATGTCTTTCAGATTCAATTGATTGCGGGCGCCGTACGGTGCCTGTACTAATGTGACCATACTCACGATTAGATCAAGACATCGGTGAAAAGTCACCGGCGCCCGGTCGATTTATAAATCGGCCGATGACTACTCATCGGCCGGCGCCCGGCGGCTATGTGACCCAGGCATTAGACTACACCATAGCTTGTAATGATTACATAGTATCCCATTGATGAAGTTCAATAGCTGGTTTTCTAATACATATTTTAAACGAGCTCGTTTTGTAAGATTATTGGAGTTAAATCATGCGTAACATACATCATCTTCTTCAGAAAGAATTATACTCTGCATCGAAATCAAAATTGCAAGGATAGTATTCAACAGACATGAGTATAATGATTCCCGTTGATAGCAACGTGAAATTTCTAAATCTCCCGTTCTAAACACGCAACTTTGAAGTTGAACGGGTATCTGAAGTAGACTAAAGCGATACAATCCTATGTTGATTCAATGTACTTTGGGTTTACGTATACGTTTTGAAAAACCGTATTTGCTTAACCTCTCCATTATCAAAGCGACTGTCGGATAAATTATGAATGTAGTTTCGCACAGGTGTCAACGGAACCAAACAGTGAACCCCGCTTTCCCGAACCCGAGTTTCCAGAATTCGCCTCGCATGCCTTCGACTCTTTCTCAAGATTTGGGCCCTAATTTTCTCAAAATATATTGTACCCCGACATTATCATCCTGGTGTCTCGTTTATAACACCCTTGTAATTACAATGCGAAGTTACTTAAGCATGATAAAAAGTGTATGTGTGGATGGGGGGAGGAGGTTTGACCCCCACTTACCAAAAGCTGGGACATGTATACCTTTATATACTCAACCGGCCAAGTATTAACAGTACAAAAGGGAGAAAAAATCCACCAGGTCCATAATTCTACACGTTCACGTACAAGTTTAAAAAAGTGTATCTTAAATTTATGTAGAACTACGCCTTTGTACAAGCGACGCATTTTCACAGGTGCGTCTTTACAATGAAACACAATAACGAGAATTGCAACTTTAGGATCTTGAAAAAAGTTGCAATATTCTTCCTGGTTAGAATAGGTTTCCACGTACAACTAGAAACACTATATAAAATAACTATCTATACACCATCAATGCAAATATATGCTTTCTTCCATTCTGATACTCATGGCATCTTTCTGTTTCACCTGAAACACAGGGCTGAGAAGAAATGAGATGTCATGGCTTATCATGATGGCTTTCTTCGAGAATACATAATGCGAGCCCGGGAATGCGGGGTGCCACATTCATTGCAACACACCTTGCAACAATGTCTTATATGAGGGTAATTTCTTATATTGAGAAGTTTATCATCTATTGAAATTAAATACTTGTAGCTACAAAAAGCGAATTTGTTTGAGCAGTCCTAGCTCGACATATTGAAAACAATATTTACAACATGGTATTCTTAGTAGACTGTTCAATTTGGAATTTCGAAGTAGCCAAACATCAGCTTTCTAACAAAAATCATCATTAAAGGATTTTATCAAAGTCTTCCATGCAAATGAAGGTGTGAATTCACATTAACAAATTAAGATTAGATCCACAATATGTTATCAAATGGCTAAATGCGCAAAATGTGTAGATATGTTTTCCTTAATAATGTGTGAGGAGGCCTTTCAGGCAATTTTCGAAAACGTAGTGAGAACAAGTTTGGTGTAGAGGGGAGGGGGATATCTCCCACCTCGGTCTCTCTCTAATGCCTTGGCCACATATGCGCCGGGCGCCGGCCGATGATTAGTCATCGGCCGATTTCTAAATCAATTTCGACAATAATTATCTAATTCGGCAATTTTAGTTACAAAACATGAAGGTACATTATGTAAAATTTTGAAGACAATTGGTGCATATTTAACAAAATACCGGCACCAGTCCTGTTACTTTTGGAACACCCTGTATGTCACCATTTCTGGCAATGTCTAGAGGCGGTAAAAACTAAAATGAATCTGATATACACATAATCACAAGTGAATCATCTATTAATACATCACTCTCATTTTAATAATGACAATTCTAGATTTTGAGTTCTATTAAAAGTGTTCAATTCAACGGGTGCATTTGGATTTGTGAAATGCAACCTGTGTAAGGGTAAGTTATCTTATAAAAGGTAAATGACATTCTATATAAGTTGCCCTAGTCATTCCACAGTTCCAGGTGTTATTTTGTGGAGCCCATGTCTTGCCACATCACACGTGGAAATGACTTTGACAAACCTTGGACATCTTTCTTTCAGTCCATGGACTCTAAAATAACAAGAATTTGCATTGTCGGGAGCGTAAAATTGGTTATTTTGAATGCCGCCTCTTGTATTTTTCATCTGGCCCTTGTACACAAAGTTACTGAAACCACTGAATAGCGGCCACTTGGGCATATTCTTTAAAGTGCTGTAACATTGTGATTGTCACTCTGATGGTAATGACATAAAGTAGGCTGGTAGAAAATTGAATGATGTACAAATGTGTAAAATATCAGGGAGTTATTTCTTTAAATGACAAAGATATGAGGAAAATGGTGTAAGGGTTTCCATTTTTTACCACCCTGTACTTTTGTGTGGATGACGCTATTTGAATTCTAGTTTGATCTTACATACAAAAAGGACTAAATATTCATTAACTTCCTTATTTTATCAGGTTTTGATCTCATTTCTCCCTTTCACATAATAAAGATTGTAATAGAAGTTGCGTTTTTTAATGATTGTCAACTACATTTTACAGGCTAAACAAAATTTTGCTCTCCAAATTGGAGGAAATAAAGAACCATACCATACCTAATGATCCTACAATAGATAGCGCCACTGGTAGCAGCCCCATGCCTCTTCCAGCAAGTGTAAAGTCTTCTGCACTGTCCTGACCGCGTCCTGCTACACATCCTATAATACCTGAAGACAGAAAGATGGGCTAAACGTTATGAAGAGTCAGAACTCCTAAGATTAGTCCAGCGGGTTAGTCTTTCTTCAAGCTCTTCAAGACCCTAGACCCCTGTAGATAAGTAGATAAGGGTGTGGGGAGGGGGGGGGGGGTGGGGTGGGGTGTAAAGGGTGTGGGGGAAGGGGGTCTAGAGTCTTGAAGCAAGACTATCCTAACTTAGGTTGGTTCGATAAGATCTATTTAGAGTTTTGGTTGTAAATGTGTTTTGGCTCATTTTCAAATAAAATGGACCGTTTTGGGAAATTAAACGTAAACTTTTAATGGGTCTGATTTGATCTTACCATTTATCTATCACCCTGGCCTATATTATAGCCATTTTCGAGAAATGGGCCTATTTATTTTCCAGATGTAGTCAGTTTCAGTAAAGTTGAATTGTAACATACTCTGTTCATGTGAAGGGGCACGATAGTAAATAGTGCTAGTTTTGCACCCGGAATTTCCCACTTCCCATGACATAATCTGAATGCACATGCAGTACATGCAAATAAAACCATTCACAGTATATAATGAAAAGTAAATACCCTGACAGAATTGGAAACAAGTTAATATAACTAAACGTTTGGACGCAATGCCATTGAAGTCACTAGTTGTTCATGGGTGTATCCTTTTTACTCGTAATATACAACGCATCTTTTGCTTTTTCTCTTTACTTTATTTTTAAGGCGATTTCATGGAAATTCCCAGCTAAAGAGTCATATTTTCAAGGGAACTTTTTATTGAAATTGGCAGGATCATACTAAACCCCTGAACACACATTAATATCTTACGTCAAAATTGTACCTTTTCAATGAAAGGGTGTTTCATGCTATTCAACTATTACATCATTTAAAATAATAGTGCGCTGGTCATTGAGTCCGAACAAAAGATCACAACTTTGGTTAAAAGATTTGATTACATGATGATAATATTTTGTGAACAAATTATTTCCAATCCAAATGCTTTGCTTCGCCACCTGTTGCGAAAATCGACATCTTTTAAAGTTTCGATTTTGGAATATCTTTGAAATATACTCGAGTTTCATTGAAATATAAATAAATATTAAATAAAAAAATGTGTATGGTAGTATACATTATACACAGTAATGCAATCCCAATGCAATAAAATATCGTTGTGTGTTATTCTACTCGGCATCAACATTATGTGAGTCGGCTGTGGAGTTTATTTTATTCAAGAACTGTCCCCATGGATTTATAATCATTATCGTCATTCATATCAGATAAATAACTAGACAACTGTTTGTTGCTCAACTGCAAAAATGATCTTTGATACTTTTAATATCAGAGATTTTTGTGCGTATATCTATTAATTTCTCATTAGCACATTCGAAAATAACATGTTATTCATCGAATGTTATGAAATATGATATATATCATAGGAAATACTATTGAAACACCAATTTGCTTAAGGTTGGGGAGTACATCAATATGAAATAGTATTTCTGTAGTTGGGGGGGGGGGGGCGGCTCTCAACAAGGGCTTTAAGGGAGACTACATTTCCATTTTTCAGCAAAGGCACTATGTTAACATAAAATATGAAGGAAGGGGTCTGTTTAACTTACTTGCCCGTAGCCAGTTTTTAACCGAGGGGAGGTTTTTCCAGGGAAGGGGAGCTTTTTAACAGTTTTGGCTAAAAAATCATGCGAAAGTGCTCAGAGTGGTGAAAACTGCATGAATTTGAAAGAAATTGCGTTCGTGAAGCAACATATGAACTGCGACATGGTTTACACGGGTTTAATTTACACCCTGGGATCTCAAAATAAATGGAAGAAAAACAAAGTCGATGTCATGCATAAAACAACATATGTAACCTAATTTTGCTAATAATGATCGTATCCTTGATTGACATTTACTGTTACGCGATATTTTGATATACGTTTGGGATTAGACAAATCGACCTAACACAAATTGCATATAAAAGGTAAACATATGACGTGCTTTATACTCCGGGCACCGGGAACATTTTATATATAAACCCAAATATATATAAACATTAGTACCACACGTATGACATGACATTCTGAAGGGAGATTCGCTCTTGGAGAAATGGACAATCGTTGCAATTATAGCATTTGTCAAATACTTGGCGGGGTGGAGGGGGGGGGTGGAGCTAATGCTTATTGGGAGATTTAAATAAAATTTGATGTCAAAGAGAAATATTCAATGCGAGCGCAGTTGTGGTTAACGTTACGTTAAATATGTTAAAGATAACATTATATACCATGACCACAGAATAAGCTAACGTTGAATTCGCGAATTCGACTGCCGGTTGACGGTTTAACCTACTTTTTATGGCCAACTAATTTAAATATAAATGGAATAGTGGTTCATTTAAATGAGTTTGCCATGAATTAGTCGGTTAATCCGTCAACCGGCAGTTGAATTCGCAAATGCTACTGCTTAGTCAAACGAATGCAAAGGGAAATATTGGATGAAGATCCTATGACAATTTGAGTGCTAGTGAAAATTCTGAGTGCTCATCACTAGATATTTGGAGAATACTAGTACCTAAATTACCCTGAGTGGCAGAGCCTGGTAATACCCTTTGCATTCGTTCGACTTCGTTTCTTAAAAGAGAGCTTCATCTTATAGAGTCTCCGCACAGGGTGGAGCCTAGAATATAAAAATCTAAAGAAGCAAACTCAAATTACTGTATTGGAAACCTTAAATTGAATGTAATGATTGTTGCAACTTCTCAAGAAATCAATTCATCTCAATTTAATTTCTCGTCACTTAAAAGAGCTTCACGGTAAGAAAAATTTAGATGTGGTCATGTTTGATAGGAATTTAAACCGATGAAATCACACGAGTTACCGAAAACGTTGTTTCTTGGATTTGATCCTCGGGGTATTTTGATTACAATATGATTCCTCCCTACATTACATTATAGTAGGAGGATATGCTTATTTCGCTTATTATAATATTTGCAGTGCATCGATAACAAACCACACCTGACCTTACGCATTAGTTAATTACAATACTAATTGATTATCTCCCATTCATAATATGTTGACTTGGCCACGTCTAATAGGGGATTTCACCGTGGAAAAACACGAATTACCGAGAAATTTGTTTCGTGTGTGCACGGTTAGGGCATCATTTTTCCTGCATATAAAAAGAATCACTGGATTTCATTACGAAACGACGGGAACAACGAGGCAAATGTAAATTTTGATATTACCATTTCTCGCGCAGACTGGATATTTACTATGTGAATATATTATGGCTGATACCTTGATTTAGTCATACGCTTGTGTAAATGTGTACATGTATGGTAATAGACATTGTTCCTGGGCCTAAAAAACGACCATTGCAATGTAGGTACATATCCCGTTGATTTTGGCCGAAAGAGTGGGGGAGGGGGTCGAAACAAGTATTGTTCCTGGGCCTAAACGACCATTGCAATGTAGGTACATACCCCGTTGATTTTACTAAATGGGAATATGGATTGCTCACTTTCAATGAAGCGTAATCAAACTAGGATTACCCTTTGCATTCGTTTGACTTCACTTCTTAAAAGAGAGCTTCGTCTTCGTCTTCTGTAGTTTAACTAGACTCTACACGCAGGGTAAACTAGGATATGGCATTGGTAATTTGTCATCTCCCGATTGCGCTTACGGGTGTCCTGCAGGAATACACCGACATGACAGTATGTTTGTGACAGTGATCACAGGTTCTAAATAATTGCGATCAACAGATCACGCAAATTAGTCGCTGTGCGCGCTGAATATCAAAGTCAGACCAAGATTTCAAAAGCTGGTTTATGAGGGAGGGTTTTCATGCCCGTAACTTTTAATAAGTTGTGGGGGTTGATTTTATAGATTATGCGAAGGTTGCAGTGTATAAGGATCTTGGGGCATGCTCCCACGGTTTTCAGTTTCGGATGTTTTCAGATCAGAGCATATTTGAGAATCTAAATCTACAATCCTAAATTTCAGTTATTCTTGCAAGAGATCGATCTATATTGGTTTAACTATAAAAACAAATTGTCAAAAGGTTATTAATTTGTTCTTGTCAGGGGGTGTGGCCGCCCCTTGCCTCGGGCAAAATGATGATTTTCGATATTGCATTTTTGCAGCCCCTTTACACGCCAAGTCTTGGAATAAATCGAATCACACTCTAGTCTGGTACTGTAATATAAATACATACCTGAGATTACAAGGATGGAGGCGAACACCAGGTAGTCCGCCCAATGAAACGTACGCGCTGGTTCACTCATGTTGAAATTGTTCCTGTGTCCAACGTCTCTCAAAGTACGTCAATTCTGTGCTGCACAACGGATTGAAGAAAGCGTCAGCTTCTTCCGGTTAATTCAAGTGTACGACTGCAAAAAACGGTTCCTTTTCGTTACATGTTCGTCCAAGCGTTTCAACTCCTGGTACACTCATAGAGAAACACGTGCAGAATGAATTAACCAAGTGTGTCACAAAATTCAGGGCGTTTTCGTAACCACCCTATCGGTCCGCATGGATGTGTTAAACTGGTCTCTCAAAGTGTGTATGTATACGCTATGCACTTAACGTTTTGTTTACACAAGCATTGTCCAAACTTTACCTGGTAAAGCTCTGTCAATTGACCATACAAAGCATTACGGCTATACACATACTTGTTAAATCTATTCAGTATTCGGTGATTCATATACCTACATCTATGCTTGTTATCCATTCATCTTAAACAATGCTATTCTCCCAACAGTTGCACTCTCCATCTTCAGTCGTTCTTGGATGACGCGTTCGAGCCTTAGATCATAGAGGTGTTGTTGCAACTCTGCTTGGGGATTTATCACAAATGAAATGCATCAAATACCTAGAAAGAAATTCAGGTAGATGTAGAATAGATATATAGGCCCATTGATACACCCATTTACAAGTTTAACACGATACCCTGACATTAATAACACACCGAGAGTCGTGCAAGTCACAGTTCACGGAATACAATTAATTTGTACGCGTCTTTGTACGTAAGTCTTATATCTGACTAGGCTAATACGTATTTTGTTGTGAAATTCTGAAAAAGCAAGATTATTAAAATGCACATCAAATATCCCAGAATTGACGTCAATGTTTACATTTAAATTTTTATTGTTTTGATTCGTTGAAGGATTCTAAAATTATGAACGATGGTTTGAAAGGTCAAGTTTAGCGCACACGTCAAACTTCAAGGAAATGACGACAAAGTCCACTTATAAATTGTAATGTTTTGATTTATTCGATATATGTTTCCATATCACGAACCTTTTGAACAATAAAACGGGTTACATAAAGAATTGGGGACTTCGGTTTGAAGGGGAGGGGGAGGGGCACAGGGGATACTAGTGTGTAGCTATAGGTCAGACCCGCTAAAAGCATAATAAAATATAGTTCAGCACCAAGTTTCTGGATCCCAATCTCATCTATTTTACCTCCAGTTTGTTATGTGAGTTTGGGAGGGGAGGATTTCTAAGGGCTTCAATCAAGATCACATCTATGTCGCAAAATAATTTCTTTAGCAATACAATGCAAGCTCGGGTAATAAAGAAAGTAGTCCATGCATTCATGATATTTATAGATATAATTGTGATCCAGTCCTTGTGGTTCACGCAAGAATAATAGGTGTAGAAATGTGAACAATATTACAGTAGGCTTTAAGCTACATATGTAAACACATACATACAGTGATACCATTGGCATAAGCTATGGAGCGACTCCCAAATATTGTCGGATATGTTAAGGTGTTTTTCATGAAAAATGTCAATTGTTTTAGCTATGCATGTATACATTGACTATATTACGTAAGCCTATATATATAAGTGAGTTAAATAATTATTTTGTAAAAATAAAAACAATCAATATTACAACGGGCTTTTCTCTTGAAAGCCCATTATATTACCTAAGTCAAAATGTCCATTTCATTGCGTCATCGTATATACGACCTCAGTATGCAGTGTTGAGTCGTGGAAGCACGTACCGAATTACCCAACGATCCCTGTTGTGTGTATTTAATTAATAGAGGTCACAATTTTCGCGACCGTTCACTTCTGATCACATGCGATTGTCTATAAAGTGCCGAATACTGGAAATCATGCAATCTATCCAAAACGCCATACATGTTCATTTTCCATTTATTTTGGCCTTTTGTTGTCAAACCATATCAGTTATATTTTCCAGAATATTTTAGACGATTTCCACTTTTTGTGATAAAAGTTACATTCCACCCTTTCCGTCTGCAAGCGATATTGCATTTAACTCTCCACATTCTAACTAACAATTAAGCTTGTGAATTATTAATATACCTGTATATATGATTGAATATTTTATAAATATTTTGATTTAAGTGTAATTTAAGGTCACAATAGATCCCATTATTATTTTCATTAATAATGCGATTTGGAAGTTTTGGGAAATAAGCCAAATTAATACACTGAATGAATTTCATAATATCTAGCATTTTAACAGTTTAAGGTCAAAAGAGGACTGAAGAAAAAGCCCATTACAAAGTACAAACAAAAACATTTGAATAGAAAGCAGCCCGCAGTTTCATATCTCGGCGATATGTTCGAATAAAGACAATTCGTTAAATCGACTTGTTCCTGCCACCTTTGGGCAACCATTGGTGACAACGTCTGTCCGAATATAGCATCTTCGACTTCCAAGGTGTTTCATAGAGCCCATGGTACGACTGCTTGGAGGAACTGCGACCTTGTGAATCGAGATGAATGTGCAGGATTTTATATTTATGTATATGACTCAGAACTGGTGTAAAAAGTATAAAAACATTCCAAAATTCTAAAATTGAGTACATCGAGGAGTTTTCCCGAAACAATACTATTTAGTAATCTATTGATATTAAGAGGTCTCTGAACCACCTATTAAAGTGGTAACGAAATTGCAGTCTACGTATACCCCCTTTTAGCTTAGATGGAACAACAATTTAGTCGTTGTAGTGGTATACAATCGTAAATTAGGCCTAAGTAAGGTAAAGTAGGATATGAATTGAGTATATTATTTCATTTGTTAACACCGTACCCTCCAACTGCACTTCCACTGGTGGATCTGGGGGGAGGGGGGGGGCAGAGAAAAGAGTTTGGGACTAACAAAGCCATACGAGCCCAAAAAGTGGGTTTTTGGTCATTACTGAGCATTTTAAGGCCATATTTTTTATTCCAGGCCAAATTTTGAAGAAAATGGGACTCAAAATTTCCAGAAATTTGCCCACCCCCTTCTTGGTTCCCAAATCCGCCCCTGACTTCTTAAAAGAAAGCTTCGTCTTTTCGTAGTTTATTACAAGACTCTGCGCGCACGGTATTAGCACCAAATGTAGTCGTATACTAGTATATATAAGTAAAAGGAGATATGAAATAACTCTAAACATAGATGTCACCCCAATAAATATCTAATTGAGTTCTCTGATTTCTTCCCACCAAATGTTGTAACATGGCTTTTCACAAACAAATGATCTGTCTTTTAGAGATAAATAAGAATTGTAATCATGTTTGGCTATAATGCCATCATACGCATGCATGTCTTTTGTGAGTCAAAAAAATTCGGAACAAAACTCCCCGCGAAAATCAAAAGATCTCACCTGTTGAATACGCCATCTATAGAAAATGTCGAAAATTTCCATTCTGATTTTGACAGATGGACGGAGGGGAGGGGGTGTCTAAAGGTCAAATATCCATAGGAAATGCACCATGGAAAGGTGCCATGTCACGGCATCTGCAGATTTAGCATTAATAGCGTTGTGACATAATTGTGTTCAACGTTTCGAAGTACCTGATCCCATTCCGATCGAACATTTGAGAATGTTTAATAGGGATGTCGTTTGAGCAATGTATCTTAACTTGTTCGATCCAATTTTGTCTGATTATATCGTTAGATGGGAAAACCCGTCTTTTTGTCTTCAACATTGATAAATTGACATCCTTTCAAACGTACGTAAAATTGTTATAAAAAGCAATCATTTATCAACTCATATATCATGTTAATGGATGGTAAGGCGAAACAGTGTATATTATAAAGTTTTCATCAATTCTGAAAATCATTTTAATGTTGCGATTTGGCATATCCCATATAATGCCCCAGTATGTCACTGCAATCCTTGTAATGAGCAATTGACTGTCATCCGATTTGACGTCAACTACACGGCAATTCCATTAATTTATGGCATTTTATGGTATGTTTCATTTTTTTATGCAATTTTAGGTGAAGGGGAGCTAGTGGGGCAAAACGATTCACGGGGCAGGAGGGACTCTCGATTAGATAAAACGTTTGTAAAAATAAAACATTGTCAACGATGTCATCATAAGACGCGGTGCCGGAAGTCCTCTTGAGAAATCACTGGGGGGGGGGGTATCGTGATTCAAGTGGCCAGCCTTCCGGTGATACATTTTCGAAAGATATTTTGGAGTTGAATGCCCATGGGCACGATCTATAATTTTAAGGAAGCAAATTTTGAAACTAATCACATATTTATGATTTTGTATGAATATTACCAATTTAGATAATGACTTCCGGCGTTTTCTTAAATTTTGAAACTTCTTTGAATCTAAAAATAAAACATAAAGAAACCCATCGCAAAGTAGAAGAGCTAGAGGTCCTACTACCGATTTAACGTTTACGTAAATTACAACGGCAAATATAGTGCTAGTGGTTAAGTAGGCTACCGGTATACCGGAGTTTCTCGCGAATATGCCCATGGGCGTTTATTCGAAAAGGAGAGTAGGAGAAAGTTATCCCCTCTTTATAAAGACCCACAGACGTTCATTTCGAGGATTTTTCAATTAATACCAAGTGGGCGAAAACATTCGAGAAAAGGATTGAACTTGCTTAAAAACTAAAACAGCCCCGGAAAAAAGTAGCAAATAGGCCATATATACGACATCACATACACGCATAGACACGGTGGGACTTCCTTAGACCTAAAGATTGCGTTGGACCTTGGACTTCATGGGATTTTGTCCCATGGACTTCGTGGGATTCCATGGGACTCCGTCGGACTTTCCCCAATTGTGCCCCTTCGTGTCCCATGAGATTCCACGTTGGACTCGATGGGGCATTGTGGGAAACAATTGGACTCGATTGCCTAAAAATGTTGAATGATATCTATTGGCTCAAATGCCATAGTTTGCAGTAATGAAAAAAAAATCTGCTCCCCCTGGGATGTATGGTCTTCTTAAAGTATACGATGAATTGATTTATAATATATGAACGCCCATGATGTGGTTTAATTAGTGTAATTGCATCATTACACAAAGCATAGAATGGTCATTTTGCATCTTCGGGGTGGTGTTTTTGCATCAAAAGTGAGGAACTAAACTCGTGAGTTTCTCGTTTCTCGATGATGCTAGATGAATTCTAAGAACATTTTCCAAAACTCGTAACCTAACTGCACGTATGCAATAATCGAGAAACTCGTCCAAAAAATGGGTTTTAAGGATGCAGTAGCTTACCGGGTCGGTTTTCACGTCTGTTTGCGCAGGTTTGACTTCCGGTTTGAGAAAGCTTGCTCCCAAGAACGTCATTTTCGCATTTAGTCTTATTCAAAATTATAGTTCATTTCGATAATGGTGTTTCCAGAAAAGAATTAAATTGCAAACATTTTATCAAGCATATTTTATCCCTTTCCCTGGGAAAACTTGTTCTTGAGTCGCAATTAGTGGATACGAAAACCAGGGTTCGAAAGGTGCCAGCTCTATCGAAAACTCAAAAAAAGTAAAAAGATTCATTTTGGGTGGGTAAAATAATTTTTTTATTTTGTAATTACCAGACGGTCAATCTTGATATGTACTTAATCACGTTTTTATGTACTAAATGAATATGTTAAAGCACACATAGGAGGATGCTGCGGAAGCTTTAATCTCTAGAGACAATAAATAGCAAAGCAGCATACGTTTACTGTATATATAAAGTGTCAATGCTATTGAATGTTGTTTGTTAATACAACTGGATGTGCTAAGACAGAAAACGTAACTTATTTATTTGGTAAGTTTTTAGATGATTATAGCGATGCAAAGTACTTCACTACACCTATTTTAACCAGAGGAGTATCACATGACATTCAGTGTCTACTTGCTTTAATGTTCGGAAGTTTGCCATAATCACACCGGAATAGCCTAACAACGGTAAAGTCAGATACCGTTGTCACAAATGGCGGATATGATCGTCGCTTCAATTAGATTTTCATGAACTGTATGTTTAATAGAGCTAGCACCTAAACTAAATTCGTTTGGAACAACAATCAATCAAAGTGTCTTTATGATCATTGTACAGTTAATTATGTTCTACCATCGAAATAAAGTCTTTAATTTAACCGATCAAAATGTGTTACGGGACAACGGATACTGTATTACCATATGCCGTTATCTTTATAAATTATTTCAAATTCAGATTCCGTTGTCATTGAAAATATCGAAGACGCTATATTGTAGCGATTCACGACCCAATATGATCAAAATTGGGATTTCATGTGATACATCATCACAAGAGCTTAATACATGCAAAGAATTAGCGACGATAAAATCCCATGAAATGAGGACCAACTGATTATAAAGGGTTGAAGCGACGGTTGTGTCCGCCATTTGTGACAACTGTATCTGACTTTACCGTTGTCCGGCTATTCCGGTGTGAGTATGTATAAATAATAGAAAAAGTCTTATTGAAATTCGAAGAAACATCTTGTACCAGAGGCTTGCAAACTTTACCGGAAGGTCAAAAGAAATATATTTGTTGACAATTCATCATTTTAGAATAACCTGGTAGGTGCAAGAAAATATAGGTTTTAAAGTGATAAAAACAATTTTCACGGCAGAATTTGATTTCAATTTCTAAGATTTCAGGGGTTAATATAATATTCATTCATAACATAAAGGATATATTTGCTATTGATATGATTTCTACAGCATAACTTCTAGAAGAGATGTAATCTATATCCTTAAGTTAGTATAAGATTATCCCATGGTTTTGTAAAATACCAATTGTGTTACTTCGCTATACCTGCTAGTTGCATAAATAATTTACAAAAGATAATAGATTTATGTTGGCAAGAATAATATTATAATTTATACAATGAATATGGATATAATTTTTCAAAACCATAGGATTGTCCGTTTATCCCATGGGAAATCATTGCCTAGCAAAAGTTGAACAATCTTTGAAAAAATCGTTTTTGCAAAATTAAGAATTTCATTTCTTTGAAAAATCGCAACCATTGAATATCACTTTTCAAATTATCGACAATTACTTAGTGATACTTGATTGCCTTTTTTCTAAAATATGATATCTTAATCCACATATCAAATATATCTTCACCTGATATCCAATCTATATCCTTGCAACCATGGGATAAATAAAGGTTATGTATCGGGAAGTTTTGGATATGGGGTTTATCCAGAGGGAGATATGCATATCTACCTGAGGGACCGTAGGGACCGTGAACCCAATATCCAAAACCGACCGTACATAATTGCTTTATCCTATATTGTATTGTATATTTATTGCCTCATTTATATGAGAGAATACATTTTAGTATACATATGGTTTACATATAAAATATAAAATACAAGGATAAGATTAAATTATGTGATAAAAAAGTTGTTGTTTTGGAAAACATGAAAATAAAGTGATAGAGAAATTATGTGTCAAGCAGAGCCAACAGGTTGGCTCTGTGATTGTACATTTTGTGTACACATGATGATACAATTATTAACGTCTCACATGAAACATCTGAGAGACCTAAAACTTTCTTCATAATAACACCCATACTGTCACCACGACTGCCAAGGGCTTCAAATATGTTATGCCTATATGGTTCATACATAGGGCATCTTAATATAAAATGTTCAATTGTTTCAGTTTCACACAGGTTACACAATATACATCGTTTTGAACCATTGAAGTTGTTCGTATTTAATACATGGGCGTTACATATCAATTGCATCATAGTTTTACACTGGCTTTGACATTTAGGATATTTCTGACAAATCAACCACCATATGCAAGGTTTTAAGTCTGTGACATAGTCACGTAGGTATAAAAGTTTGCCATAACATGAGCATTGCAAGAAAAATTGCTTGACCTCGACGGATCTTACAGCATTGACAATTTGCAGTCTCCATGACCTCTTCGACGGAAGATATCCAGAGTCCAGCGCATTTTTAACCAGATTTTCAATTCCTAGCATTTTGGTCTTAAGGAAAATGCGCCGGATAGGAGAGAAAATATCGGCATGGTTGTCATAAGTGACATGAAACATCTTTACTAACCGTGTTATAGTTATATCCCTGTAAATATTATTAAACCTAAGTAAACTCCAGAGATACATCATCTGCAACACTGTAATATAGCCGTCTATTGACAACCATCCCAACGGCATCGTTGCACTAGGATTGGCTGAGGTTTTGGGGAAAAATTAGATACGTTTGCCAATCTCCCTATGAGTCAATTCAAGCTTTTCAACATCTGACGCTTGGTAATTTATAACTGGTGCCCCAAACAGCATGGTTGGAATAGAAAAGGCCCAGTACAGTTTTGATGCTGTTAAGGGTGACAAACCACCTGTTTTGTGCCCCAGTCCCAAAAGTGAGCAGAATTTTCGCTTACCACTAGTGCAGCGATCATTAACATATTGTGAGATATCATTTTTACTAGATATTGGAATACCAACATGAACAGTGAAATTGACCTTTGGAATTCTCGTGTCACCTATCTTGAGAACGACATGACCTTTAACACTTGAATCAGTGACCATATCATTAAATGTCAGAAAGTTACATTTCGCTGGATGGATTTCATATCGCCATCTTCTACTATGTTCAAAGGCAGCGTTTAACATAAGTTGCATATCCTTTTGATTTGTGGCAATAATGGTCATGTCATCCGCATAAGAAGGACATACACAATTTACATCATCAATGTGGCCACCTATATTCATTTCACATAGATCCTGAATAAGGTCAGCCATGTACAACTGATAAAATAGCATAGATAGGACACCCCCTTGGTGGACGCCCTGCATGACATTAAAAGGTTTAGAAAGTGTATTTGAACTTCCTACACGAACGGCACATTCATATTTATGGTAATTATCATAAAGCATACGCCACAGTTTGCCACGGATACCAAGTAGAGTTTTCTGGGGCATGGTCATTTCAATAATACAAAAATAGACAAATTATTCATATGCAAAGTCATTTTATTGCATTTCCACTACTTACTGGAAGCGGGAAGATATGCACCGAAGCGGGAGATATGGCGGGAGATATGGAGATTCTGGATATGGAAAATCAGGATACGGGATATATATTACCAACTTATCTCCCTAAAACTCTACTTGGCATAGGATAAAGAGTGGTATCTATATAAATCTCAGAAAAGGTAAAAATATGAGAAAATATGCAATTTATATGTTATTGGTTTAGTCTCACCTATAGGGTGACATAAAAAAATGCCACCGACATATATAATGTTGAATAACTTTTCTGTCTGCACGATATCTAAATTAATCTTTAAAACTAGGCTCCATGGAACAATTCCTCAATACGTTCTGATGACTATATATAACTAGCTCAACTAGATGCACTTTTATAATCGTCGCAGTTAGATCATGTGATCTAAATATTGTCCGTGTTTTGCAGGCACGCCTAAATTCTACACAAAAATACCAACCATCTTAATTTTGTAACACAACTTTGCAAATACTAATTATTTTTGCTTGTTCTTTTTGGGAATGATATTCCATTCAATTGAAAATTGATGATGAAGTTGTCACTAATGAAAGCATTATACAGGGTGATCCAGAAGTAACGTCAAAGACATTGTAATTTCAAAAGTATTCATCAGATCTTCATGACATTTGGTATACATGTACCCACAACATTTCTGAGTTACCATCTCAAAGATTGGAATTCAATCATTTCATTGGTTGAAATTATGGTTGCTATAGTAACCCGATATCGCGTAACCCGGGGCAAATTGAAGAGAAACCATAACGTTTTTGTGAATTTCTCTAATTTAAAAAGTCAGTAACATTTGAAAATGTTCATTGTTTGTTTTCTATGATTTTTATATTTGTTGCCATGGTAACAAATAAGTAATAGTTGTGATGTCACAATAGGCATTCATAAAAAGCTTTCAATTTCTTTGAATTGCTTCCATCATCCATGACAAATACTAACATGACCAAGGACACTAACCCACCCAATTCAAGATGGCGCCAAGTCAGAGTAAAATAGAGCAAAGAACAAACATTAAGTTCTGTGTAAAGTTGGGGAAAGGTGTAAAAGAGACTATAAGACAGATAAAGAAGGCATATGGTAAAGCTGCCATTGCTGAGAGAAACATTTACAGGTGGTTTAACAAGTACAAAATTATGTTGCAAAGGAATAGACGACACATCTTGCAAGGCTCGTCATAGTGCCCTACCACTGGAATGTAGAGCAAAAGTGGGCGTGGTCAATTTAACCATTTTGAAGCATTAAGTTAAAAGCACGTAGGCTATCAATAGAAAGGAAAGCAATGTATTCAAAACATCTTCAATGTTACTTGACGATGCAAATCAGTTATTTACCTAGTATACTAGAATATTGGACTCTACATATTTTTGTATGTAAAGTGTTATATTTGTATGTGGCTCCATGAAATCTAATGGCTGAATGGAGTCATTTCTAGGCCTAATCATTCAGTAAATTCAGTCATTTGTAAAGGACGATTCTCGGTTTGGAGAACAGTCTCCTGGGCTAATAATTTTCTTCATGAAAAATATAGAAATATTACCCAAATTAAACTATGAATATTCAAAAGAGGACATTTAGATCTACAAGATGTAAAAATAACAAATTGGTCTGAAGCAGGGATAACGCTCAATTTGACCGATTCAATAAATTACAAATCTCGATTTGGGGAAAGAAGTTCATCAGTGTACTGCGCGAATATTTTTTTGCGAAAAATCTAGAAATATTACCCAAATTAAATTATGACTATTCAAAAGAAGACATTCAAATCTATGTTATGTAAAAAAAATCAAATTTGTCCGAAGCAGGGATAATGCTCATATAGATTGATGAACTTCGTTCTCCAAACCGAGAATCGTCCTTTCAGATGTCTTAGAAGACAAATCTTTTTGGGTCATATTTGATGTCATATTCATAAAATATGTAAGAAGACACATTTATAACAAGTCAACGACGGTTGAGAATGACCTTTTGACAATAGAATGGAGTTTAAGACGTGTTATTAGGGATGAGCGGATCCGATCTTGTGTACACTTTTTGGTTCCAAGTCACTTCAAATTAGCACATGATAATAATTGGTTATATCTTTCAGGTATTCGTTGATTTATCCATAAAGACCTCTACCAACGATACGAATTTAGTCACCAACCAAGGAGGATTGGAAGCCAGGGTTCCAACTCGATATTCTTTAATCTCCACGCATGCGTCATTTGCTATTCGTGTCTGTATAATTTGTACGACTGCATGGAGAATGACCCGATACTCTCCAACAAAGCTATCGCTAGGTGATTGTTTTGCAGAATATCGGTGTTGCATTCTGGGAGCCAATCCTCCTTGGTCACCAACGAAAGTACAGTTACCGAAAATATTAACTCAACGGTAACCATGATTTACACAGAGACAACAATAGCAAAGGGACTATGGACCTACTGTGCGCCATTGATCATCATTCTTGGCACAATAGGAAACACTTTGTCTCTTATCGTACTCACAAGAAAGAACATGCGAAAAATCACTTCTAGTATTTATCTCAGCGTCCTGGCCGTAGTGGATACGACTGTGCTTTACACCGGCCTTTTGCGACATTGGATACGTCACATATATGACATAGACATACGGAGCATCACACCTGGGGGATGTAAATTTCATTTATTCTTCATCTATTTTTCCGTTCATCATTCTGCGTGGATCTTAGTTGCGGTAACGTTTGAAAGGCTAGTTGCTGTTTATATCCCCCACAAAGCTCGAATATACTGTTCTAGTTTCATAGCATTTATAACAGTTTGTCTCATCTCTTTTGTTTTACTTTTCATCAACCTTCACTTCTTCTGGACATCCGGTATTAAAATAAACGATCTTGGTATTCCTGAATGTGATATTGTCGGTAACAGATATAAGAATTTTGACATGTATACGTGGCCATTGATCGACGCGTGCATTGCCTCTTTTATCCCATTCATCATCATGTTCACAAGCAACGTGCTCATTATTATCAAAGTTCGGAAACTGACCTCAACGAACGAATCGAAGATGACATCCATGACGGCAATGCTCCTCACTGTGAATTTCGTGTTCATTATCTGCACATCGCCCATTGTTCTCTACTACAATTTTAAGACGACTTGGTACCCGGATGATGAGGAATCTACAATTGCCAAGGCTGATCTCCACGATGCTATCTGTAATTTATTCGTATACACAAATAATTCCATAAATTTTCTTCTTTACTGCCTGTCCGGGCCAAAATTTCGTCGAGAACTTCGAAGAATGTTGTGGAGGAAGGGAAACCAGATTGACCCACAATCCAACATCCAGAATCAGACTGACGTTGAGACCGCACCTGCTCAATGAAGCAGTTTCCACGAAGATTAATATATCTTTGGACATCGTGAACTAGAAACCTTTACTTTCAATCAAAGCGTTTGACCATATCTTTAGGATATCGTAAACTGAGAATTGTCGAAAGTATATACACAACCTGTTTGCACAACATGTATGGAATTATAGTCATATTTATACCTACTCGACGGAGATCTTGTAATTTATAGATACACTGCTCCACATGTTTAAGTTAACACCATTAAGGGGACAAAGTGCGTAAATGAAGTCTCACTTTTGATCTTCTTTGTATTTCCAATGGATTAATAAGTACCCGATCTTTCATTTGACACCAAAAAAAGCTCAAACAGACCACATCAGAGTTGACACTTGATCATGACAAAATATTTTTGATCTATCAATTTATATATGTCAAGTTTTAAGCAATGCCATAGAAAGATGGCATTGTTGTTTGCATTAATTATCAATTCTCCCTTTCGCGGATTGCTCTTTGAATCAGAACGTTCGCAAATATGTACTGAAAAAGCACTCAAAAAGGACAACATTTGATTGGTCAATATTTTCCCACTATGCATTTCGCGTAGCTATTTGCGTGACCCGAAAGTTCTAAATCAAACTAATTACGCAATTTTGTTTTTACACCCGCACGCTAAATAAAACAATGACACCATCGGAAGTATTCTTCGTTGTCATTGCTTTAATAGTCAGTATATCGAGTTTAATCAATAAAAGATTGTACAATGACCAACAAAATTCGGAAACGAGTATTATAGATTTGCTTTCGGACCACTGAACAGATTGACCTAGATAACACTAGATAATAGCGACGCGTCTTCTTTGGTCTACTGCTCAGTTGTTTGTGGGTTTTCAACGTAACTCTATAATGTAATTTGAAGATGAATACTTTTATTCAGTTGCTGCATCGATGTTGCAGTTTGTAGTGCGGTAAGATTGTCAGGAAAGTATTGAAAGTCGAATGGAATTGTTTTTTCCAAAATGGCGACTAGTCAACTGATCACGTGACCTTCTCTTCCGGAATATTTTCTCACTTTTCAATCATCGTTTTCACCACGCTATGAATCAATACAATGAAAAAAATAGCTGTTATATTAAGACTAATAAGAGACCAATCGTTTCTAATAATTTTTTCTGTACTCTCGTACGGGAATGTGAACGAATATATCGTTTGAAAAATAGGTGTGAAAATCCCCATGTTAAACCTATGAGGGAAAACAAGGAAGTATAAATTTGTTCCTCCGCGAACTGCATCATGGGAAATATTTTGACCTTATAAGGAACGATTTTCGCGTCTCCTCTTTTGAAGAGGGAACAACGATTTCGAGAATTCATTTTTGACAGGATTTTCAAGCACGCCATCCTTTAATCCAAGAGTTATTTAATACATACACTATTTGTGAAAAGTGGTAATTCACTTTTTTCAATCTCTGAACTTCAAATGCTGTTTTCTATGCAAGTAATTTTTTTTTCACTTCAGTATGATCCCAAATTAAAGTTTTTATCATATTTGAGTGAATGTGTGAGTGACATGTCTCAAACAATATTTTGTCATTTTTCATTCAAAAATAGGCGCATTGCCTGTTTAATATCAAAGTTATATTTGGTAAGTTTTAATTTAGATATCATATTAATTATAGGTTCTACCCATATTAATATTCAATTCAGGATTGGTAAGATAAAACTCCACATCATTTACAAAAGCAGGTTTCTAAGGCTTGAGACTGAGCATTGGTGGGTTAAATGTTGTTCGGGATGATGTATCTTATAGATGACACTGGCATCAAAGAAGACGAGGTATCTAAGCATGCACAACACATTGTGTATATATCAAGTTGTTTGCGATGACAGCATTTTTATAGATGTCACTGGCATTCAAGACGACGAGGTATCTAAGCATATACATCACAATAGTGTGTATAACGTTGTTTGCGATGACGGTATTTCATAGATGTCACTGGCATTCAAGACGACGCGGTATCTAAGCATATACAACATATTGTGTATAAAGTTGTTTCCGATGACGTGATTATAGGCCGATTATAGATGTCACTGGCATTAAAGAAGACGAGGTATCTTAGCAAGCAAAACTCATTGTGTATAAAGTTGTTTGCGATGACGCAGGCCCGTAAGACACTTTTCTTAAAGGGGGGTGCGGTTTTTAGCTTAAGCCTACTAAAGAGAAATATAAAATTGCCATTTTTTTGCCGCGTAAATCAAATCGCGTAAGAAACAGAGGGGGGGGGGGTCAGTTAGTCCCTATATTAGTTTGGAATTAACAAATGCAACTTCCAAACGTTCCAATTGTTTTGTGGGGGGTATGAGGAGTGGTCCCCAGGAAAATTTTACAGTTTTGAGATGCTATTAGGCGTTTCTGGGCACTTTCAAAGTGTAAGTTTCTAAGTAGTACGACACCACGACGGGAATAAGAGTTGTGTGAATAAAAAACCAAGCATTCAAGGGGGACTGGGGGTTCTCCCCCAGGAAAATTTTGAAATTTCGTTGTATTTGGAGCAAATTTGCAACCATCTGGTACGCCTGTGCGTTATGAGTCAATAAGAAAAATGTGAATTTTTTTTCAAATTCTTTTGGGGGTGTCAAAGAGGATGAGAGGGTGAAGTGGGTTGGGGTGCCAGTAGGGGAGCAAGGGGTTGTTCCCCAGAAACATTGACCATATCAAGGTGCTATTGGATGATGTCTGGGCACTTAAAAAATGTCTGAGACAATACATGAAATTCAGAATATTTTCTTTTGTTTTGTGGGGGATGTGAGGGGTGGCTACCTCTCCTAGAAAAGTTTACAATTTAAAGATGTCATTTTAAAAGCAAAAAGGCTCCAAAACGTAATAAAATATGTAGTTTGGATGTTCATTTATGTCTGTGGATTATATTTTATACCACAAACACTTATAAATACCTGAAATTTGCAATAAAAGTGCCCAAAAATTGTTGTTTCGAAATTCGCCATTTTTCCTGTATCGCGCTAGTCACGTGACCCTTACGCGTAGCAGGCAATGCCTAGTATTACAGATATTACAGTACATATTTCAACATGTTCAATATGGCAAACATCAGCGATTCTGACTCCCGGGTTCTGGGAAATGGCTATATATAAATCGGCGAGAGGGTGTTATTTAAGGAGGACAATTTAAGGAGGGGAAATATGTCCAAGTATGCCAGTAAAAGAGCAGATATGGACTTTAGACAAGTACTATGACGGAGAATCAACTAAAAAATATGCGTTCTGGAATGAAGACCCGTTGCCATTGACTGAGAATCCCAGCGATCCTATAATCCTACTCAGTTTGAATTTAGACGCGGAAAACAGGTTATGAAAACGGGCTCTCTGCAAAGTTATCAAATTTAGAAAATATGGATCTTGTTTTTGAGTGGCTTAACAAGCATTCGGATACAAGACTTGGCGCTATCTCTTGTCAAATACACGCAGACTTGCAGTAAATTGGCCATTGCAAATTGCAAAATCAGATCGTCAAATTAATCGCTTCGTTTTTAAACGTATGCTTCATATCTTCATCCAAAACTTTAGGATTCGATAGAGATAAGTTAAAACTTGTACAGGAAGAAATGGGAGATCCTACCTTAATTTAGAATCGCTGATTTCTCTGGACAAATTCCGAGAAGAAATTGTTCAACATCGCGATCAGCTCAGACTAAACTTACATGTCGTGCATGTCACTCTGAACTCACGTGATAAAATACGGCATTTTGATTGGTTACTACTCGTGTTGTCATGACGCGAAAAACAATAGTAAACACTGAATATGTTAATGAACTGTCATATATGGAGCAATTGTCTTTCTGATTGGTTAACTTTACACGCCTCCTAAATGAATATAGTAGTCGTAGTAAATGATTCATTGATAACTCTGAAAGTGGGCGTGACCAGCTTTATTTTGACACCAAATTCAAGATGTTTCAAATAAAAATGGCCTCGCAAGACGAGGTTGAAATATCGGCAGTTTGATACTGATATGGTCTACGATAGATCAAAAATGACTGCCCCGCGTCATATGTCACGTGAGCCTATATTTGTTGAAAAATGAAAGAGATAGTGACACTTTTTAATTTTAAGTTAATACCAATATTACAAACACATATCTATTTTTTTCATTAAATATTTATTTCTTCATTATACATACATTTGTTTTACACTGCATTGATTTATTTTTGCAAAACCTTTGCTATTAGATCTTTAAAGATGATATTTGGTGCTTCTGGGCACTTTTAAAGTGTACTAGTCAATAAAAACATTGAAAAACAATCAATTTTTTTTTCAAATTTTGGGGGTGTGAAAGGGGGAAGGGGTGCCAGAAGGGGAGGTGGGGCTGGGGTGCCAGAGGGGGAGCAAGTTTTAGTCCCCTATATCAAAATTTACAATATCAAGGTGCTATTCGATGAAGTTTAGGCACTTTAAAAGTGTCTGTGCCTAAAAGTGCCTATTTCCCAAAAAAAATTTACAATTTTAAGATGCTATTTGGTGCTTTCTGGGCACTTTCAAAGGGTATGAGTCAATAAAAAAAAATCTCAATTTTTTTTTTGGGGGGGGGTGTTAAATTCAGAACTTTTCCATTGTTTTGTTTGGGGTGTGAGGGGTGGCCCACTCCCCCTAGAAAATTTTACAAATTTACGACGCTATTTGGTGCTTTCTGGGCATTTTTTTTTGGGGGGGGGGGGGGGGTCAAGGGGGGTGGCGCCAGAGGGGGGGGGGGCGCCAGAGGGGGGGGGGGCTATGCAAGTGCAAGATGCAAGAGGGGGAGCAAGTCCCCCGGAAACACTAACTATATCAAGGAGCTATTTGATAATGTCTGGGCACTTTAAAAGTGTCTGAGACAAAACACTAAAATAAATTTAGAACTTTTCCATTGTTTTGTGGGGGGTGTGAGGGGTGGCCAATACCTCTAGAAAATTTTACAATTTTAAGATGCTATTTGGTGCTTTCTGGGTACTTTCAAAGTGTATGAGTCAATGAAAAAAAAATTACAGAAAATTTTTTTTCCAAAAAAATTTTTTTTCAAATTTTTTTTTTCAAATTTTTTTTGGGGGGTGACAAAGGGGGGTGCGGTCGCACCCATCGCACCCCCCCATCTGACGGCCCTGTGACGGTATCTTATAGATTAGGGTGAATCATTATTTCAACTTTTTCTCAGATCTCAGTGCTATTTAAAGGAAATAATCAATAACATGCTCTAAACTTGTAAAAAGAAATTCAGCTCAATCCGTCAATGTTTAGACCCTTTGCTATTACGTATCTTATAGATGCTACTGGCATTCAAGAAGATGATGTATCTATAGGCATACCCAACATATTGTGTATCAAGTTGTTCGCGATGGTGTTGCTTATACATGTAGATGCTACTGGCATTCGAGAAGATTATGTATCTAGGCATGCATAACACACACTGTGTAATGTATCAAGTTGTTTGCTATTATGTATCTTATAGATGCTACTGGCATTCAAGAAGATGAGGTATCTAGGCATACACAACACACACTGTGTATAAAGTTGTTTGCTAAATGTATCTTCTAGATGCTACTGGCATTCAAGAAGATGATGTATCTAGACATACACAACGCATTGTATATAAAGTTGTTTGCTATTATGTATCTTATAGATGCTACTGGCATTCATGAATATGATGTATCTAGGCATACACAACATATTGTGTATCAAGTTGTTCGCGATGGTGTTGCTTATACAGTGTGTCCCAAAAAAAGGAAACCAGCAATAGATTGCTTATTTCTCAAATATGAATAATGATAGGAAAATTTCACAGCTACCATCTGATAGATTATGATGTCCTCTTTCTTATGATACCAAAGTTGTCTATTTTCCTTCACGGATGACTGAATTATAAGGGATTTAAGTGACCATGTCAGAAATGAGTTTGTACCACTTTCAGCCAAGTCAATTTCACCATCATAACAAAGGGATAAGTAACAACAAACATCAGGATATCACTCTTATACTCATTTATTCCAATTAAAATTACACATTTCAAATTTAACACCTTTTTAAATCCCAATGTCCATTCAAAGTTGTTTTAACCCCAGTGTCATCATCAGGGATGCAGTACGTGCGATGAGATCAAGGCCAGACATTTGCATTGAAAGGAATGGGGGTCATGTTGAAGGACACTGGGGTTAAAACAACTTTGAATGGACATTGGGATTTAAAAGGGGTGTTAAATATGATATGTGTAATTTTAATTGGAATAAATGAGTAAAAGAGTGATATCCTGATGTTTGTTGTTACTTATCACTTTGTTATGATGGTGAAATTGACTTGGCTGAAAGTGGTACAAACTCATTTCTGACATGGTCACTTAAATCCCTTAAAACTCAGTCATCCGTGGAGGAAAATAGACAACTTTGGTATCATAAGAAAGAGGACATCATAACCTATCAGATGGTAACTGTGAAATTTTCCTATTATTATTCATATTTGAGAAATAAGCAATCTATTGCTGGTTTCCTTTTTTTTGGGACACACTGTAGATGCTACTGTACTGGCATTCGAAAAGATGAGGTATCTAGGCATGCATAACACGCTGTGTATCAAGTTGTTTGCGATTGTGTATCTTATAGATTCTACTGGCATTCAAGAAGATGATGTATCTATAGGCATACACAACATATTGTGTATAAAGTTGTTCGCGATGGTGTTGTTTATAGATGCTATTGTACTGGCATTCGAAAAGATGAGGTATCAAGGCATTCATAACACGCTGTGTATAAAGTTAATGTATCTTATAGATATATTTGTAATATATCCGGCGATTGTCATGACTTTTAAAATGAAAAGTTATGGCCGTTATGGTAACGGGGGTCGAGGGTATGTGGAGCAACGTCACAACTGTGTTTTACAAATCTCTTTCCTGCTCATAAGATATTGGCATTTCGCCATCTATTTCTATATTACATCAAATTATGTACCACAACAGCATGAGGATTAGTACTGTAACATTATTTGATCACTCCATTTAACTACTATCATTGAATTTTTACTATTTTCCCCATTATCTAAATGTTTTTGATGCATCTTGACCGGCGATTCAAAGACTTGAATGACAAAACTGCTGCTGTCCATCTCTCAGAAATACACACCACATTTATGCTTGACTTTTACTGTGTTTAATGAATAGAAATAAAATCTGGCCTATATGTAAATTCACAAAAAAGAAAAGTTCCCATCTAAACTGGAATAACACAGCAATACTTGCATTTTACTTCTCACAAAATAGACATGCAGAATGTGCAAGTATGTCAGTGACCTCTGAATCTATATTGATGGGTCATTTTACTGTCCAAATTACTGTTCTAAAAAATACCTGATCTCTTACAGTTGAACATTCTTTGTCAGTCATTTTCTTTAGGTTTAAAAAGAGCGGGAATTTAAAAAATCATTGATGTTTATGTTATGACCATAAATTGATCAACAAAATGACGATGATAATGAGTTAATATTTTGCTAATACTACCACATTTTTCCAATCTTAACAATTAGCTAATGTTCATCACCTACTAAGGTAGCAATGATGACAGGAAGTTAACCAATTATCGAAAGAGCATTTCTATAACATATTTTTCAAAATAATAAATAGGTGTAATAAATAGCTATTTATTGGCATTCAACTTTCATTGATTTAATGTTCATTTAACAAATAGGTTAAGTGATGTTCGTAACATGACAGAATCTCCCGATTAAATCTATCCGCCAAATTGGCTTAAGTGAATATTTTGATTTCCACCATTTAATGACGTGGTTGGATATGAGATTCATCAGTCTCTGGGATTAAATTATGACGCTATTTCCATTATTCTACGCCATGTGTCCAATAGAAAAATTGGGGTAGGCTTATTCACTCCGGAGAAAACACACTGCATGGCGTCTAAGCCTAGAATAATGGAAATAGCGACATGAATCCCGGGACAATGAATCTCGGATCCAAGTAACTTACGTCTAATGGTCGAAAATCAAAATATTGACAAATTTATAACCTAAAAGGCCGAAAAATTACGCGGCAAATATAAGAACGGGGGTCGTCAACATATTGTATTAGCTTTGATCTCTTAGAATAGGTTGAATATAAGCGATTTCAGTTGTTTTGATCACTTAATGAATGATATGAAATTATGAGGATTTGAGTTTTTTCAAAGTTTACAATGGCGGCCAATGGGGGATTTTAGCAAAATATCCCGAAAATTAAAAGGCCGAAAGATCAGTGGATGGATTTTGCTGTTTTATATATCAAAATGAACATTTCGTTGGGTGTAACAAGGGTCCGTTGAATCCTAAGAAAATAAATGATTTGCTAAAAAGTTATTCATTTATACTTAAGTTACATGTTTGTACCTAGTATTGAAATCGTGTATTTCTAGTAGGTTTCCATCGTTGGGTGACTGCTAATTAATAAGAACGAAACGATTAAACGTAGCAAAAAGAAGAAATCATCTGCAATCAGTGCGCAATCTCGTAGAACTCTCGGCTGCTTATTTCGTTCAGTACAAAATTCGTTCAGTACAACAAATTGAAAAATCGTCCACCACATATTTGTTTCCAGTCTAATTACGACATGGACACGTCATATCAGCTTTATAAAATAATTTACGTAATGATAACAAATCTTCTGAACAAATCATTATGTTTGGAGTGTATTGATTCCCGGGAAATGTATCTTCGTTCCATGAAAGATTAACAAGATAATCCAGTGAAAATGACACTAGAGGAGAAATACAAAGGCCATGCTATTTTGACAAAACTGATCCGTTTTTTATGAAAGACAATGAACAAAGTAAATGATCGTTTTTTGTTTTGTTGGTTAGGTAACATGTTAATGACGTCACAAAACAAATTAGAATATAATCAGCAGTGGTGTGTGACGTTTAACTTTTTTTTTGTTTGTTTAGTTGATAGGCAAATCTCAGGTCAGAGAAAATATTTTGGGCCCCTAAAAACCGAAGTGGGCCCAAATTTTGAGGCCATTTTTTCTTCAAAATGTGGCCTGAATTTAAAAAATAAGGCCTTTAAAGGCCAAGTTATAGCCAAAAAAGGCCCACTTTTTGGGGCCTTTTTTCGCCCCAACATTTTTTGAGCCCATTTTCTTTCTGGGCCAAGATCCACGACGTCTTGAGTAGCCTCGGGAAGGACGGGTTTGGTTTCTTGGAATAAAATCACCTGCGAGCCCTAAAGGAAAGTACGAGTATTATTACGTTCGTATAAATTATGTAAAGTGACCGTTCGTATTTATAACGTATAAATACGTAATTTTCTGCGAACTCGGCTACAAAAAGGTAAATCATATTTGAAATTTGAAATGTGTCGTTTTATCTCATTTGTATCAAGATTAACTAGGGCTGCCATCATTAGTCGGAACGTCGACTTGTCAGTCAAAATGCAAGTTCGACAACGAAGTCGACAAAAATTCCCGTCATGTCGACAGCAAACGATATCAATACTTACTTGAAAATATCCAAATGGCCCCAATACATTTCAATACACATTTCAACGTGTTATGTGCGCGTATTCTGCGGAAATATTGTTCACATTCATTTCATTTTCAAAAAATAAATTCACCCGGAAGTTCCCTTCATGACTTCTCTTCTCTCTTGCGAGACGTTGTACGAGATTTCGCCCGAGCAGTCGAAATAAATCCCGGTCGAAACATTGCAGGTATTTGTCCCATTTTCGTCTATAATATTCTATTAACTTGGCATTTAGTAACAATATTAGGCAATTACTTCCCGATGATTTTTTCTCCCTGGAAAGTTCGATTGTCGACAATATTTTCGACAGCAGAGTTCGACTGTCGACACTGACATTTGAGTTCGATGGCAGCCCTAAGATTAACAGTCAATTTAGTTACCTGTGTACGATTTATTCCGGAATAATATTATTTCAGACAATTCAAGGTAACTCCTGAAGTATCTAGATCTAGCCTAGTCTAAGCTAGGCAGATCTAGGCTAGGCCTACATATCTACGCTGTCAGGAGTAGGCCTAGATAACTGGGCCAGACGGGTTTGGTTAGGCTAGGCCTAGACCTTCACGATTTTGCTCGGTCAGTGGCGGATACAAGGACGGGACGTGCGCTCCCCCTAAAGTCCGGTATAGACACAGATGTTGGCCAGATCGTTTTGTAGTAGCAAGGACATAGACTATAGGCTCAAAGAATAATTTAGAATATATGCGTCACTAAAATTGGAAAATTTCAAAAAGTGACCACCTTTCAAAACGACCCTTATACAGACGGATTTTGCACTTATTTTATAGCTGAGATCTTCATCTTTCTATTTCTACTTGTTTGGTTCGAGTAAATAACCTATGTACGCAGTAATTTGACTTTTAAAACGGCAAATATTTTTCACTTGAATCGGGCTCTTGTGTGTCCAAATATCATTGCAATGCAGAATCAACAAAAGGTTTATGAAAAAATTAGGATAAGCCAAAAGGTTTCAAAATTATACACAGGACAATATATCTATAGTCTAACTACTCAATGTAGGCAGGGACTTTTAATTGCTAAAAAGTTGAGTATCAAAAAGCATTGGTATCTAGGCCTACCTTAGACCAATAAAAAGTTTCCAACCTGTCGTTTTACACAAAGCATGAAAATGTTTCTATTTTTTTCAGTTAGGCCTAGGCCTGCCACAAAAATTACACCGAGGATTATTAGCAGTTTTTGGCTTATAAATGACGACCACGCTTACTGGCGTATGTCAGTGCTAAAGATAAGCTTAATCCAGAGGGGGATACTCTACTCTTAAAAATATAGGCTATCAGAGTTGGCAATGAAAGGGTACTTTGTCACTCAACATTGATTCCAGAGGAAGACAATGCAGCCAAGCAATGTTACAATGTCATTGATACGATTGCTCTTATTTACACTGATACTCCTATCATGGCAAGGTAAGGAGACATTTGGGTGTTACTTAAAAGCAAGTTATAATTATTCTTTAAATATTCTTGATATATATCTAGGGTAGATTTTAGCATCTGCGTGTATAAACTGTTGGGTGCTATCTAAAAGCAAAGTATGATAATTCTTTAAACTGCTATTTCAGCATCTGCGTGTACAGACCGTTGGGTGTTATTTAAAAGCAAGTTATGATACTTCTTTTAAACTGATATATATCTTTCAGCATATCTGCGTGTACAGACCGCTGGGTATATAAAAGCGAGTTATGATACTTGTTTAAACTGATATATATCTTTCAGCATCTGCGTGTATAAATTTGGGTGTTATTTAAAAGCAAATTATGATACTTCTTTTAACCAGTAACTGATATATATCTTTCAACATATCAGTGTACAGACCATTGGGTGTTATTTAAAAGCAAGTTACGATAATTCTTTAAACTGTTAAACTGATATATATCTTTCAGCATCTGCGTGTACAAACTGCTGGGTTTTGTTTAATGGCAAGTGCTATGCTTTTACTGAATCTTTTATGAGATGGGCTCAAGTGAGATCATTTTGTCAGAAGTTCGGAGACGATGGTGATATGCTGATCATAAAGAGTATATCAGAATTGGTAAGATCAAAATATTGGCTAATACTGACATCTAAACACCTTTATTGATTTGAGCACACTCGCGATAGAAGAATGACGGTATTTGCTCTAAGGTTAGAACATACCAATGGAAAGCTGAAAATGTCAAGAATAGGGAACTGATAAGATAATCCACCATAATATTGTGCATATTGATGTCATTTGGTTTATACGCGACCTTTTTATGTACAGGGTGGGCCATAAATCGTCCACATTTTTTTCATTTCGATATTACCTTTTTCAAAATCCATGGATTTGAATAGGCAGGGTATGCATGAAACAATTAAACAATTGTTCCTGACAAAAGTGGGATAAATAAAGCACTATTGGTACGTTTTTGAGTACTGTATTAAAGGTGAGCAGAAATCAGGGGTCCATTTGAAAAGTTATAGATTTCAAAATGTTATTCGAAACAAATAACATAACATCATTTATCCAGATTTTCCAGTTCCGAACCAGTCCATCTAATCTTTCTTATCGGTCTAAATACACTCCAGATTCTTTCATTTCTATGGAAATATAAATTACTATGTATACATCATACATCAGGCTTCTGTGGCTGGATGTATAAAAAGTCAATCTTGAAATGATATTTGAGGCATGACCATTGTAAACTTAATTCGTTCCTCAAATCTGTAATTATTTGTAAAGACCCATGGTGTCTTTTGCCCTTCCCTTTTCAAAAACCCTGAACGATTTATTCATTTCAATTTTAAAGCATTTGTAAAATTGATTATTGCTTATCCTGCAAACATTTTATGGAAGTCCATCCATCTCCAAAAAAGTATGGAAATAAATAATATAATGGGGACGCGTTTTTTGGCCACACACTGTATGTCGAAAAACTGAGCCACTATTACGCTGATTATTTCCCTTTATATTTAAGAGCTAAAACTAAAGAATGATTGAAGGGAATCAATCCGTGTGATTTGGAATTTTCCACTTTTGAATGCATTAAATTACTTCTTTAGCCTGGGACCTAACAATTTTCATATGGTAAGAACTGAGGATTGCCTGACTGTGGGACCGATGGATTAAATTATAACATGTAAACAATCACACCTTTTAAATCATTTCGGACGATTGAAAAAGTAACATTATCATATTATAAACTCGACAACTAGGTAAAAAGTAAAAATATGATTCGTACTTTGAAAATATTAATTTTCTTTTCCGAATGCGACAAGGAAATTTGAATTCTTCCGGCAATGTTTAATATTATGTAAACCTATTATAAATCATGCTACATCCGCTTACATTGACTCTTCAAGAAATCATGTTTTGTTTGAAGGAATTTGTCACTCCAAAGATATGTTTTTTAGCTTCTAAACTAATATTCATTTCAGAATTTTTTAAAGGCGGAAATATCGAGGAGGTCAAAATTTTACTGGACTGGTGCAACAGATGAGGGTAGTGAATGTATTTGGCGATGGGTGGATGGAAGCCCATGGGACCCTGCAATTGGGTAAGTAATGTTATGGAATTAATATTTTATTGGTCAGAATCTTCATGTGATTTGTGTTAATTACAGCCTGCATTGTATTGTATTTTATCACATGATTAGGAGTGTCTACGCATTTTGATTGGTCAAATTGTGATGATGTATATTCCGTATCACATGACACGTGACTAATTTTCATGTGATACGGTGAGCTGTATCACTACGGAGTCAATAGCAACGATGTGACGTCACACTGATTATATCACTTCAAGCTAAGGAAAACAATATGACGTCATACTATTTCACAAAAAAGTACGAATACAACGGTATGACGTCATATTGTTTCAAAGCGAAATCAAAAATTATAATAGTTACCAGGAGTACAGAGTACTGAAAATAATCGAAACTGACCAAATCAAAATGCCTCAAAATTCCTAGACATGTGATAAAATCGTCATCACACGTTTCAGCTTAGGTGATACATGAAATATTCCACTCGGGTAACAATGTATCACCACTCAGGCTTCGCTTTCGTGGATGATACAGTATTACCTTTCGTGGAATATTTCCTGTATCACATGCTGAAACGTGTGATAACTGATAGTATCCTTTATTACCACAAGTGTATATTGTGAGTACATTTACAATTTTTATTTTGCATTAACATGTTTACATAAAATCAAATTTGCATAAGCATATTACGCTTTGCATACATTAGGAATACAGCTTTGGCTTTTAAAATCATTGCTTCATCATTGCCTGATTTGAAAGTTTGAAATATAATGTCATCATAACCAATTCTAAATAAATTGAGAAGTGCAACTCTTTCTGCATCTATGGAATTGCAGAAACGTAAAAAGTGATCCAATGTTTCTATTTCGCCAGTATATATATTACATTTTCTGTCACCCCATTTTTTATTTCCATTAAGTGTTTGATTCATTAGCAGCTTGACCATTAATTTGCAATATTTTAAATCACTAGGGTATTTGAAACTGAGTGCCCACCATTTAAGTGGCTGGGCAAAGCATTTTACACTCTCATAAAAATATGTTGCACTTTTTATAGCACATTTAATCATAAACGTTGCATTTTGGCTTTGACGTAGCCTACCTAAAACTAATTTTCGCCATATTCCCTTTGATGGGTAGACAGTAGACACCCGTGTTTATCATATTAGTTGCAGCATCTAAAAGATTGAATCTGCTTAAAACATTCCACATTGTATTAAGTGGTGACGCAGCACCACCGTGACCATTATATTAGAATTCCGTAGCTCGATAAAGAAAGACCTGCTTATAAATATTTTTACTGGTAGTGTTATCAGCATAAGGAAGAACATTAATTTATCTAAGGCGATTTTATACTCGATGTCCATCCAGCCCAGTTGATCAGTTGAAAATACATTATCAGCAAATTTAGGAAGACATTGAATGCGTTTTCCGATCTGCCTGTGGGCTGCCTGTGGGCTGATTGATTCAACATCATTATTCGAATAAGAAATGATTGAACTACCGTTTAGCATTGTAGGGATAGGACAGCGTCCAATAAAGGGGTGATGCCGGTAGAGGATTGAGTCCACCACAAGTACTCCCCAGACCAAGTAGAGAGAAATATTTCCTTTACCAGACGTAACGGCCTTCTCGACATATTCGGAAACACTCCCACTAGATGATAAGGGTATACCTACATGGGTTTGATTTTGTACAATAGTCACCTGCTTGTCGCAAATTTTAAACATAGGCTGTACAGCGTGGTGGTTATTTCCAAAAATCATCACATTACATTTATCAGGATGGATGTCATACCGCCACTTAATTACGGCTGTGATTGTATGCCAAATTTAGCAGTGCATAACCCATTCATAGATATCGTGCTTGTAGTAAGTAGTGATGTATCATCGGCGTAAACTGGACATGTGATATCCAACCCACCATCTAATGCACCCAACTTGAACGATTGCAATTCTAGGATTATATAATATATTAATTATATAATTGGTACATTGACATAGAATAGACCTCCGCCCTGATGGACTCCTTGAAGTACACAGAACGGAGCGGAGAGTGTATCCACACGTACCATGCACTTGTAACTTTTGTAAGATTCTCGAAGGAGTCTCCACAATTTACCATTTATGGCAATGTTAAATAACTTAAAAAGAAGCCCGTTAAGCCACACAGTATCGAAAGCCTTACGGATATTAATTGTAGACAAGTATACATTATTTCCTCTGTCAAGACTATGAGCTACTGTCTCTTGTACAATCAGGGATGTATGGATCTATGAGCAATTAGATTGAGATGCCCCTTGTAATTGGGGGATATTTCTTAAGATAACTGGCTTGCTTCTGATCAGAAGTATATTATCAATTGCAAAGACCTTTCTAAGAACAGACATGAGGGTAATCCCCCTAAAATTGTCTTTTTCTAATGATTCCCGGATACCAGATTTGAGAAGAGGCAATAGTATACCAATTTGAAAGTTGTTAGGAATAAATTCATTATCAATAATGCTTTGAAGCAGGATCTTAACTACCTGTTGGACCTGAGTACCACCATACCTTAAGTGCTCGGCGTTGTCAAACCCAGTAGCACGTTTAAGGTTAAGTGAATGTAATATGTTTTTTTTATGTAATGTCATCCTCCCATCACAGGGCTTCAAAATCTAGAATATATTCTTTCCTTTTTGGGGGAAGAAGGGGGAACGGATTCTGGATACCTGCTTAGGAGGATGTGTAGTGTTTGAAGAAAGAAAACTGATGATTGAACACCTATAGTTCATATGTGTGTGCTTCTACGAAAAGTACAAAAAATTCCAATATGTTATATATAGATAAATATAGATAATTGAAGTAAAATATTTCTTGCTTGAATCTAGCAATAATTTATTCTTTAATGGCCGTGGTGTTTTAGTTGTCCTTGTAAATGCTGAGGCAACATAATATTACAAAAAATGCATGTGAAGTACCAGTCACTGGAGAATTTCCGAGGTACGTAATTACCCAAATGCGAGTAAGTAGTTACCAGTTTCACCACCAGGTGGCTGATTCGGGTCAATTAACATGGCAGGTATATAAGACAGTTCCCTTAAACTTGAATATTATCAATTTAAGTGGCTCAATTTTCATATAACCCTTATGTGTCTGATACTTATACTAATGAAAATACGTCCAGTAAAGCAAAATATTATCTGTCCACTAAAAGAAAAGATATTTCATTTTTTGTGGTTTTATAGCATGGGGTCTATGGAGAATCTCCCCGAGCTAGAAATCACATTTTCAAAGAAAATTAATTTTTCAAAGTTGATAAACACTTTTTAAAACCACATTTTTTGATATAATTTTACATGTAGATTTCAAATATGGTATTACTTTGACTGAATTTTGAATTTTTAATGACGTAAATCAAGATTATTTCTACTCGCATCTGGGTTATTGCCTCCCTTATAAGATCTCTTATAATCATGGCTTTTGTGTAATACGAACAGTGTGTATTAGGCGTGCCAAATTAAAAAGGTGAGGCAAAAAATTGCCTGAGGTTTAGTCGAAAAGGGGTTGAAATAATTTTTTGAAAAGTCTTGGTCGGTGTTAAACGTAGGAGGTCCTATCAAATTATGGTCCTACTTTCCATTGATTTATATGGTGACCTAAATACAACTCTTTCCCTTATTATCGTATCCACAATCAGGGCCAGTAAGGGCCTTTAAGAAAGGGGACCATTATCCCCAGGGGACCATAATTTCCTTTTCACCGGGTTTCAATGTTCTAGGTCAGGCCATGTGGTGAAAATTTTGACCTCTTTATATGTCCTTTCAAATTCGTTAATTATGCGTTATAAATTATTCTATTTTCAGAAGCCGGATGTGGTGGCAAGCTGATGGTAAACCAAGGTCAGACATAAAGTACAATTGCGCATATGCTAGAAATGTTGGCGACTGGGACAGCATGAGTTGTACAAAAACAACTCGAGCTCTTTGTAAGAGATCACTAGGTAATGCCTAATGCCTTGGTCACATTTGCTCCGATTTTCACTACGGCGCCCGGCCGATTGAGTTTTTTGCTCAATGTTGTATTCAATTTTGAACAAAATACTCAATCGGATCAATGGATCGGAGCATATGTGACCCAGGCATTACTAATGCCTTGGTCACAATCACATATGCTGCGATCCATCGGCAGGCGCCCGGCCGATTGAGTGTTTTGCTCAATATTCTATTCAATTTTGAACAAAATATTCAAAATATTCAATCGCTTTATAAATAAGCGAGAAATGAACTCATCAATCCATGAAAATGATTCATCGAAAAATGCATTTCAAAATTTTAGTTATCATAGAAAACAATGGTACAATAATATCTAAAACATATTGTATTCTTCCTTTTAATCTGGTTAGACAATCAACATTGATTTATTTTTGAAGTTTAGCATATTATTTAGAAAAGCTTAACATAGAATTAACATGTTTTGCCACCTGAGTGAGTCATCAGGTTGCGAAATATTTTTGATATGCTAATTGCTAAAGCATTGAAGTGGCATATTAGATATGGTATTTTATTATTGAAATAGTGTCAATCTTTGCATAGGTGCTAAAAATATAATCTTTTTTGAGATGTATGGTGGAATATTTGATGATTAAAAAATTTCAACTTTTTTTGAAAAATGGCGGGAAATTTGAATATTTGAGAAATGAAAAGCTGACAACTTTTTTTCAAAATTTCTTTTTTTTTCAAAATATCTCTAAAATAACTTTTAAAGTAGGCCTAGTGACAAATAGAAAATGAATGATAAAAACTTAAATTTCAAACATTACACGGAGTCTTTAAAAAAAAAAAAAAATGTTGAGATTTACAAATTTTCGATGTATTCATACAAAATGCTCTGGAATAGGTTATTGACGGCAATGTACTCAAAACAAGAGTACACTGTCTGAAGTCTGCTGCGCTTTAAGTCGATGTCCTCTGAATGTTACAAATAGTTACTCGAGTAGACATATAAAAATAGCAAAATGTAAATATATGCAAAAATCGTGAGCAGAATAAATGTTGTATTTTGGTAAATATATCTATCAAATATAAAACGATGAATGATGTGTGCAAAGTTGTTGCTTATTGTCCTGGAATGTTATTTTCTAGCCATGGGCCTTGGTGTCTGGACGACTTGGGGAGATTGTTCAAAAACATGTGGAAATGGTAATAGAGTTCGAACTCGATTATATGATAATCCAACACCATCTAATGGAGGGAATGATTGCAACCACAATGATCTGATGGAAACCAAGTTCTGTAAACTAATAGATTGTCCTGGTATGAGAATAGAGTATCTGACGTAAGAAATGAACTCAATCAAGCTTGTTGATCCTTTTGAAAAACTTGAAGAAAGTTGAGTATTAAAAGGGATGTCCGAGTTGACGTCAGATATGGACACTTTGCATTTAAAAGCAAGTTAAAATGTTTCCGTTGCCTTAAATTGATAGTCCGTCTTTAAAACAAAATGGATGAATTTCAGCCAGAGGAAATTTAGTTTTCATCTAAAAAGGAGATTGATTTGCCAACAATTTTAACCGTATGTTAAACGTCTCACATGGTCACTGAAAAGTGAATTAGTTTCGAAAATATGCATCCAAGGGCTAACATAATCGAGTGGGAAAATCATTGCTTTGGCAACCAAGACGTTATCAATAGGCTATAACACAACGAAACCAAGACGCTATGAAAGGAGTGGTATCGATATGGAGAACTGAATTCAACAATGTTTTTCTCTTAAACCAATCATTGAAAACATTCTGTAAAAGACACAGTATTTTATGTAATGTTGACTGATTGACAACAATTTAATGCGAAAATTATTTAGAAAATTTTATATAACTGTTTTTGTTAACATTCATTTAGTGCAATTGTTTTTGCTCCTTTCTCACGCCCGGTGATCGTGAATATGGGACGGAGGGGGGAGCAGGCAATTTCTGCTGGGAAATTCAACAAATCTGGAAGATTTATTTTTTCAAGAAAAAGTTTACTATTGAATTGCTAAATGGATAGGCGCACGGTATGGTAGAATATGTTAGGTTTTCTGGGATTTTTTCTGAAACGATACCCATCTAAGGTATGAGATCTATTAAAAAAGGCGCAAGGCCATCAACAGGCACAAATCGACGTTTTTGCTATAAATCAAGCAACAATGGTCTGGACGACCTGTAATAAATACTTGTAAGTGATGTTATCATAACTAAATTAATGTCATTGCTGAATTTATAAAATAAGTTTCCATATGTGAAATAAAAAATAATCGAAAATAATGAATTTGGGACGGAGGGGGGGAGGGGACGGAGGGGGGGAGCAATGTGTATATAAGACATGATTAGAGATGTTTCGCGACTTTAAGTCCTTTTACTCCAAATGTCCCCATTTTTCAGTCTCCAGGGGTATATCATCCAGTTTCTTACTAAGTTAATGAGTTCATTTTTCAAATACAAGAATTCGTGTGAAGTTGTTTCACTTTATAGAATTATTACTCCCCCCCTCCGTCCCCTCCCCCCCTCCGTCCCATTTTAATTATTTTCGATTATTTTTTATTTTACATATGGAAACTTATTTTATAAATTCAGCAATGACATTAATTTAGTTATGATAACATCACTTTCAAGTATCTATTACAGGTCGTGTAGTCCATTGTTGCTTGATTTATAGCAAAAACGTTGATTTGTGCCTGTTGATGGCCTTGCGCCTTTTTTAATAGATCTCATACCTTAGATGCGTATCGTTTCAGAAAAAATCCCAGAAAACCTAACATATTCTACCATACCGTGTGCCTATCCATTTAGCAATTCAATAGTAAACTTTTTCTTGAAAAAATAAATCTTCCAGATTTGTTGAATTTCCTAGCAGAAATTGCCTGCTCCCCCCCTCCGTCCCATATTCACGATCACCGGGCGTGCTTTCTATCAATTCTTGAGAATGAAATAAAATGTCTTTCCGAACCTTGTTTGAACAAAATAGCATATACAACATGTTTTTAGACCTCTCAATATTATAGTTATACAAAGGAATTTTTGGTTGATTTTGAAAAAATATTCAAAAAATTAAAACAAAATCCCCCCAAAATGGATAAAAATCAAGATAAAACTTTTATTTCCATAACGATATACTTCTTTTTTAAAAATCAACCAAAATTTCCTTTATACAATTACAATATTAAGAGACCTAAACATGTTGTGTTTATGTCTTTTTGTTCCAATGAGGTTCGAAAAGATGTTTCATTTCACTCTGGAAACATGATACCAAGAACAAAACAAGTGTTTGATGTGTTTTCTAAAACAATATAGATGAAAGTATATATAGTAGCCCGGACAGAATTGTTCAATGGTCACTTTTTCTTTAATAACTTTTTTAATTTTCTGATTACATATTTGAAAACTAGAGTAAAATTCTGACATACAAAAAAAATATTTAAGGAACATCTCTTAATTTATTGATATTATAGGCGTTCATAGTATGAGTGACGCGAATACATAATTCACCATTTTGTCTCATATTTGTTCAAAAATGGCGGCATGTTTTGTGGTTTGAATGTTCAATTGAAAGTTAATATTTAAGAAATGTCATGGGCCTACTAAATCATGTAGACTGCTGCTTTGGTATGGGGTAATGACTGCAAGTATAACCTTTTGTTAAAAATTGACTTTTAAAAAGGTTTGTACATTGGATGTACAGTATATTGGTAAGGTCGCAGGACTTACGAGTTTTTTGGCCATTCCATTTTTACTCGTAGTGGATTAGCAACCCTAGTTCGTTTAACCTGTGCAACTATAGGGTTATACTGCCACAGTTTGTAATGTCTTTCCCAGTCACACACCTCTTAACCCATCCTTGGTATGCATGTGAATTGTTCCTCATCTTCTCAATGGCCTCTGAGATGGCTGTTTGGCATATGGCGCTCTTGAAACGATTGAGGACCTACTCTCATCACATCCCGCACATTGGGCCGCCACTTTTTCACATCCTCTTGAACACAGCCCCGAACAATTCAATAGAGTTGATTTCCTTGGAGGGAGTTGACTTCATGTTTTTGATGAATGGTCAGTTGCTACATTACATCAGGATTGTAACGGTGGCAGCATGGCCCTATAGGCCTATGACAATCTTATTAGAAAAAGTGACCATTGAACAATTCTGTCCGGGCTACTATATATTTCAAATTATATTGTTACCTTTAAAAAGATGACCATTAAATTGACGATGTGTTAAATTTTTAGATTTTTTTATGACTGGTATAAGAGAAACGTGTGTTCATATCCATATCCATATCCATATCGATACCACTCCTTTACCAGACATCCGATCATTGGTCAGGACTTGCTTGATGTATTTGCTCATGACTTACTTGCTGTTGAGGAACTGGATGTAAATTTTTAACATTCAGGTAAAGTATTTTGATTCAAACCAACCTCATTCTTGGTAGAAATGATGAAGGATTTTGAATTTTTCCCTCAACAGAAGCTCATCCATTTTGAATATAGAAGCGCAAATGCCGAAGGGAAGGGTGACTAAAAATTACTTTAAAGAAACTCATCAAGAAAAGCAAACTGTAAGTGTAAATCTGTCATAAGAAAAGTAGATCCTATATATCCCAAAACCATGATCTAACGTGAAAAGAAACAATATCTAACATCCCCCTCCCTCTCCAATCGAGAACCAATATCACAATCCAAGACCAGAACACCAAGGGCTATTTCATTCATACTGGAGTCATTACAATGCATGTTCATATATAGACGTAACGGATGTTTTTTAAACTTTGACATCCCTTTGGCATATTAACAGCCGTTTTAAGAAAAGCAAAAACAACCTGTATGAGTTCATATCTGACTAGTGCCCAAAGTGTTCTTGTAAAAGAGCCACCTAAATATGTAAATTAACAAACGGTACATTTTTCTTTAAACCGTAAGTTATAAGTAAATGAAAGATCTAAAAGAGGATTGTTTACTCATGGATTGATAACGAACAATTTCTCATCGGCCAGAAATATTCTACTTGTGTTTTTGTTGTTCTTCTTACACCATTGCTAATTTTAGTCAATGGAGCTCCTGGTCCTTGGACAGCATGGGGACAATGTTCTACCACGTGTGGAGATGGAGAGAAAAACCGCACCAGAGAATGCAACAACCCTGCACCAGCTTATGGAGGGGATGCATGCAACGCCACTGATTTGACAGAGAGGATGTCCTGTAAAGTTCAAGAGTGCCCTGGTATGATATTACATTATTAGGTAGAGAATGACGTTGTGACAATGATATTTTCATAAAGTTTCATACACTAGTACTCTCTATAATGCTATAGTACGTATTCAGAAACAGGTTAAATTCACTGCCATATACACACACTACTTCCCTACCTCGATCGCTCGTGGGCAAGATTTTTGGCTTTAAACCAGGTCGCTTTTGAGTATATATACTGCTTAGTCAACAGTTAATACGTTTGGTGCTCGGAGTGAGTCAATTGAGTATTTAAGTAGAATGAGTTATTCGCTGAACTTCAATGATGGTTGAAGGGTACAGGGTACAACGTTTCAAAAGTTGATCAAAACAGGGTGCAGGGAATGTTAATTGTTCAATAGTACAGGGAGTGAGAAAGTAAGCTGATTATATAGTGTGTATCAAAAAAACGACACAGATTGTTATTTCGGAAAAGCACAAAACCAGTGATAACAGCATTGATTTCATTCAATGTACCATAAAGCCATGTGTCTCCTCGTTCCAATGGTATATCCTTCGTTGATATTGATACATGGTATCATTCCTTTTGCAAAATGAGCCAAAATTAGTTTGGGACCAATTTATAAACATCGCGAAGGACAGTGTACGGGGCCCAATGCAATATTGGAAGAAAACATAAAACAAATGATGACTACATCAGTTTCATTCAATATACCAAAAAGCCAAATTACCCCTCTTTGCAATGGATTGTCATTCTTTCACAGGGAGTCATGGCTGGCTGAATAATCAATTTAATTTGTGGGATAAAATTCAGCCCGGACCCAAGTTTTAAACATTGCAAAAGTCCGTGCATGGGGCATAAGGGCAAGAAAAAAGAAGAAGGTGGTGCAGGTGTGACATAGACAGAAACGTGTTCATACTCATACTCTGACAAGAATACATCCTATACCGCTCCAAATTGCCACCACTTCTTTGCACATAAAGATGTGCTCATCTCTCCATGTCATGCATAGTTCAGCCCTGAGTCATATGTGGGTTAAAGCGGAGAAAAGCAGCCCATTGCCTATTCTTTCTCCAAATTTTGCAATATCTGGTGGAGGAATGGTGAGCGCAGATGCTCCTGAGATAGCTCCAAAAGAAAAAGTCACAACAATTCAAGTCAGGAGCAATTCCATTGGCACTTAGCCCTTGAACTGATTTTTGTAATATCTGAAACTTGGTGCAGAGCCGATTTTGACCCACTGTGCAAATGGAAGGATTTCTCACCCAACCATTACCAAATGTGAATGAATGACATATCATTGCAAAGAGAAGGGATGTGGCTTCATGGTACATTAAATGTAATTGATGTAGTCATCACTAGTTTTGTGATTCTTCGAGATAACTGCTTGTTGCGTTTGTTTGATACGCCCTGTACAGAAGGATTCGCTGGTTTTATACCATAACCAATTCTGAGATAGTCAGTATACTAGAATCATGTTTTGTACAATAGTGTGATAGTATATTTTTGAACCACTTAATGTAATTGATTTAATCTTTATTTTGAGACGAGTACATGTATACAATAACCACGTACATGTGCCAATCATCATTTCAAATGCGCTTGATGTCCTAATCCAGTGCTTGCCAAAAACTGAAAATAACTATATGTGCATGGTGTTACGCGGAATATGGCATATATTCATGGTTGTGCGGTATTTGTGATAAAGGTGAATATACCATACTCACCTGCAGTATATAAGACTTTGGTTCAGTAATCATAATAATAACTTATAGACTTTAGTTTGTTCGTTGAATCGATGTAATTGACAATTGCGAACTTCCATATCGCGTTCTCATTGGTTAGTGTGTATGCCACGGTCCGCAGGTGAATCTGGCATAAACCGCAAGTGAATATGCCATATTCGTTGCAGAATATGACATATGTTCGCATCGTGTTTACCACGTAACCCTTACCACTGCCATTTTTCGACCGGAAATATTTAATTTATTTATTTTGTTGTTCTTCTGAACCATAGCTAATTTTTTAGTCAATGGCGGTTTTGGTCCTTGGAATGCATGGGACCAATGTTCTCCCACGTGTGGGGATGGAGAGAAAATCCGCACCAGAGAATGCAACAACCCTGCACCAGCTTACGGAGGGGATGCATGCAATGCCACTGAATTGACAGAGAGGATGCCCTGTAAAGCCCAAGAGTGCACTGGTATGATATTAAAATATTAGACGGTAGAAAATGACCTTTTGACAATGATATGGATTTTAATAAAGTTTGTCAAATTAGTCACATACCCCATACTACAGGTAACACCTTGATAGATGGTCCTAGTGTGATATATCATTAGACAGGCCACAACTTTAAATTAACTCACTCACTCAAAATTTCTAGATCTGATAAAATGTTACCTATATTTTCATGTTGCCCTTAATATATGAGCCTGGCCATAGAAAAACCTGTCTTATCACAAAATTAAAATTGTGCTACAGAGCCAAAAATGTGCCCACGATTAAGAGGAAAATGTGCTAAATTCAGATCCGACTTTTTGGTCTATATATGCAAGGAAAAATTGTTAGAACATAAGCCATGGCTCATTTGAAAGGTTTCTTTGTGTTTTTTTAGATAAACAAAAAATCAGAAAATTGAAAAAATCTGTGATAAGACCCCTTTTCCCGTGGCCTGGCTCATATACTGTAGTGTGCGCCCCTCCAGCTTTTATTGTAGGAGCATATAAATATGTTAAATTGCCATGTATCTCTTGGTGTACGTTCACCTCAGTTGATACACTGTAGTATTTTGTGACATTGGTTGACAGGGATCCGGTATATATGTCAATCAACATAACTTTGGATGAACTTTCCAACGATACATCACACTTGGTTCCACGTATTTGGTTTTGACTGTAGGCAGGGAGAGGGGTGTGACTTATATGGCACCCTGTTTACGATCTGTGTTTGGTTAATGGTACATCGTACTTTCAGATTAAGGTGATTTAACTCAACCTCAAATGTTTATTGTATGTCTAGATCTTTATTTGAAAAAATATTTTTGGAATTTACCCCTTTGGCTTAAGTCTTAAGTAAGAGGTGGGAAACCCTCAGAGATTTTGCGATAACAGACATATTTACGTCTCTTGGTTACCACATTATTCGGTCAGAATCGGTGTAAGCATATTCTTTACATCTTTCTTTATCTCGATGTGAAATAAAAAAAAACTATGATAATGATAATTGTTAACACGCCAGATATTAACATAATATTATTTGAAGCGTTATTACAAGAATTTTTTAATTCGCCATTGGATGACGTCATTAGTCTGTCGACATAATCAGCGACGATGTCATCTCAATACAGATTTACATTATACATGTATTTCATCTCTGAACCCTGGGGATTCCCCCCTCTTGGTATTTGTAGTTTCCATGGAAGTTTCTTTAACCCCAATTATATATATTTTTATGTATTTACATAGGAGCAGCAGTAAAGGGATTATGGGCATACTGTGCACCATTGATCATCATTCTCGGCACAATAGGAAACACCTTGTCTCTTCTCGTACTCACAAGGAAGAACATGCGCAAGAACATCTCCAGTATTTATCTCAGCGTCCTCGCTGTAGTGGATACAACTGTGCTTTACACCGGCCTCCTGCGACATTGGATACGTCACATATCCGATACAGATATACAGAGTATCTCAATTGGTGGATGTAAATTTCATTTATTCATAGCTTACTTTTCCTTGGATTTATCTGCGTGGATTTTAGTTGCGGTAACGTTTGAGAGGTTTGTTGCTGTTTACATTCCCAACAAAGTTAGGATATACTGTACAGGATTCACAACATTTTTGACTGTTTGCGTCATCTCTCTTGCTTTATCTTTCATTAACCATCACTACTTCTGGACACTCGAAGACATCAAAATGAATGAGCTTGGTGGTCTTGAATGTGTTTACAATGAAGAAGTTAAGGATTTCATGATGTATACATGGCCATGGATTTACAAGTGTGTCGCCTTCTTTATCCCACTCATTATCATGCTTACAGGCAATGTTCTCATTATTATCAAGATTTTGAAGCTGAGTTCGGAGAACGAATCGAAGATGACATCCACAACGGCAATGCTCCTCACAGTGAATTTCGGGTTCATTATCTGCACATCGCCTATTGTTCTCTACGACAATTTTAAGACGACGTGGTACCCGGATGATGAGAAATCTACAATTGCCAAGTCTGATCTCCATTATGCTATATGTAGTTTACTTATGTACACAAACAATTCCATAAACTTTCTTCTTTACTGCCTGGCTGGGCCTAAGTTCCGCAGAGAGCTGCGAAATTTGTTTTCGAAGAGGAAGGAAAGTCAGGTCGCCCCAGCATCCAACATCCAAAGTTTGCCTGACGTTGAGACGTTGCCTGGCGGCCTGCTCTTTTGAAGACTTCCCATGAAGGGGTTTCATCATACTTTCGGAGATCATGACATAGAAATATTCCCGAAGTGTGGTTTACTTCCGATCAATGGATTTTACCATATTTTCAAGGATAGTGTAATTAAAAAAAAAATTCAGTGGGCTACTGTTATCGGTATGTGATTTTAGTCATAGTTATACCCACCGCGCAGACAGGCGGACGGGTGAGCGATTCCACATGTTTACCATTTGAACCAAAAAATGAACTGTTTACGCATGTGTACAGACTATTAAAATTGGTGGATGCATCAAAATTTGTCAATGCAATGAAATGGTCATTTTTATGCCTCTATCCCAAATGTATTTGCTGTTCAATATTTTTTTCTTTAGTTGATTTATGTTTAATGCTAGAAAACAAATGTTTATTATTCCCGTATAAAGCTCTAATAGTATTCAAAGAATTGAAATAAAAATTAAAAGATATGGAAATTAAAGTGTACCTTTTATTCATTAACAAGATTTGTACTTATCTTAAATGAATTCAACTTTTCTTTGTACAATTACAATATTGAGAGTTGTATGTCGTTTTGTTCCAATGCGGTTCGAATAGATGTTTCATTTCATTCCGAACATATGATACTAAGAACAAAAGAAGTGTCTGATGAATTCTAAAACGACATACGACGACATAGTCGCACGAGATTGATGAATAGGACGTAATCGCTAAAAAGGGCCCTTGCGACATCGCAGGCTTGCGACGTGCTTGCGATAGCTTGATGAATGACCCCTCAGTCTGTATTAACAAGATCAAATATAAGTTAACACCGCTGTAATATAACTCTAGTACCGACTTGGCGACTAGTCGGTATTAACAGATTTAACACCGATGCAATATAACTCTAGTACCGGCTAGTCGGTATTAACAGATTTTAATACCGTTCCAATGCCGCCCAGTAATTATTAATAAGAAGGATATGAGCAGCATTAGAGCGGTATTAGGTCTAAATTATAATTTTTTTTACTTGGGTTGTATGCAGGAATTCGCGATCCTATGTTGGAAATTTGCGCTAGAACTAATCAAAGTTACCTCTAACGAATCCTAGAAAAACGCCATATTGGAATTACTAATACTCCTTCAATTGTCTAGATATCGTCTTTCCGACGGGTTTTACTACAAAATTGGTACTGACCCAATGGTATTTTAATCTCTTAACATAACGTGAGCCCCAATTCCGAGAAAAGACCACTGGAAATCACTAAAATGGGGTCTAATTTCCCTCTTCTTTTTGACCGGAAGTGTTTTCCTGACCTCGGTGTGTTGCCTATTTTTTCGTTTTTCCTGGCTGGATTTAGTTTTTAAACCTTCTTTACAATGATCTAATGATCACCTTAAATGAATTATAAACAATTTAAATTCCTATCCTCATTAGATCAGAATTTAGTAGTTTTCTTTCCATCATTTGTTTACTTCCGGTTTACTGTTGAATAAATATTTCTTGTGAACAAGACGTAAGCACATCATGATAGTTGTAAGTTCAAAATGAAACCCGGACAATAGCAAATGTTTATGATTATAACTATTGCATACCGATGCAGATCATGATTTACCCACTAGTTTCCCAGTTTATAACTGCCTGTTGTCCTGCCGGTAATATGTGAACCTTTTACAAGATAATAGTTTGCACGTCAATTGCCGTGCAAAATATTGCACGTCACTTGACGGACATGACGGCAATTGCCGTTATTATCTATTGACATGCGCATTTATGCTTCATAATTTCACGTCAATTGTCGTGCAACATGGCAATCGCCGTACTTCACGTTTAATGGGGTTATCGTCTCCACTGTTGAACAGAGGTTGAGAAGAAACTTTTCTCAAGAAAATGGCCGGTTTCTTACTGTAATTGGATCCAATTTCGAGAATCTGCCTAATGGCCTAGGTTACTGACTAGGCGAATATGAACACATTTGACTTCAAAAAATAAGTCATGTAAATATGAGTAAGTAGATCAAATGATTAAATTATTGAGAGATTTGAACTTTTTCTAAAAATTGATTTTTTGACTGCATGTGAAAAATATTTTAAGCTAATCCTCCAGAATAATCGCATAACATTGTATTAAATGGGAGGATCATCACATTTGGATTAAAAATGAAAGAGAATAAACTCCACAGCACATCATTTAGAAATGTTCACATAATATTAAGGAATGGTAAATATTATATGTGAGCACTATTAGTTTAAAGGATAATATTCTACAACATGATACAACAAGTCGAGTATAATAACGTTCGTTTAAATCATGTTAAGTGACCGTTCGTATTTATAACGTAGAAATACGTCATTTCTGCGAATGTCGACCTTTTCTGCGAACTCGGCTAAAAAGGTAAATCATAATTTGAAATTTGAATTGTGTCTTTTTATCTCCTTAGTATCAATATTAGCAGTCAATTTAGTAACCTGTGTACGATTTATTCCGGAATAATATTATTTCAGACAATTCAAGGTAACTCAGTCTTTTATTTAGAATGATACCGTGGTACAATAAGGCCTTCACGATTAGACTCGGACCGAGTCTCGGAGGAAGTTATAGTGGCGTTCTTTACTAGCCTATAAGGAATCTTCTTGCCTGTTATTTAGTTCCTCCTTACTATTCTTTCCTTTATTGCAAGTTCGGGATCCATCAAAACCATTTTCCGCGATAACATGCAACTCAGGGGCGGATCTGGGAAGCAACAAGGGGGGGGGGGGCCCAAACTTGTGGTCTGAGAAAAAAACGTTTTTGGGCCCCATGAACCCAAAAGTGGGCCCAAATTTTGAAATTTTGAGGCCCATTTTCTTCAAATTTTGGCCTAAAATTAACAAATAAGGCCTTACAAGGCCAATTTATGACCAAAAAGGCCTACTTTTTGGGGCCTTTTAGGCTCAAAAAATTTTTTGGGCACAATTTTTTTTTTCTGGGCCCACCCAAGGGGGGGGGGGGCGGCGGGCCCCTGGCCCCCCCCACATATCCGCCAGTGCAACTGATACATACACTCCCCTCCCTAAGTTTGGCAACCTTATAATATTTTTCACATGCTGTCCGATGGTCGAAAAATCCACAGATATTGGCCAGATCGTTTTGTAGTAAGATCTCATAGGCTCGAAGAATAATTCACAAGATACGACACTAAGTTGGAAAATTTCAAAAAAATATGACCACCTTTTAAAAATGTTCCTTATACAAAATGGTACCTGCTTCCCCATGGCAGATTTTGCACTTATTTTAAAGCTGATTTTTCACGAGATCCGGACTCCTGTATGTCCAAATATCATTATACTGATGACGTCACATTTCTGGAACCACGGGAGCAACATTCAGATTTGGACAGACAAGAGTCCGGCGATAAAATATCACTGTTTTGGCCTCTTATCAATGCAGAATTGCTTGAATAACGGTCATTTGTGATAAAAAAAGTTAAAGAATAACAAGATGCTTCGAATGAGGTATGATTTGTCTCATATTTTCAGAAATGGCTCCATATTCGTCATTTTAAAATTTGAAATTTTCTCAGGTGTCTCATCTTGAGGAATATTTATTGAGCTACTGATCCTACTACAAACGAATCTGGCCGGGGTCTATGGAAAAATCCATTTATTTTCTCATTCGGCCGTATTCCTGAGTTTTTCAGCCATATATAATAACTTTGGTCTATGACTTATCTACACCTTCTTCCTTTCGTCAGAGAGCTGAGCAGAATCGTGTCCAATTACATTTTCTCCTGATTAATCCTCAAAATTTCAAAATGGTGGATGATTCGAAAAAATCTCATGACATGACAAGTCATTATATTTTGTAAACTTGACCATCATACTTGAATTACATATATGTTTAGATTAGTTTGTAAACTGGATTTTCACATTTGAATCTGTTTATTTATAATTTTGGATATTTATCACCCCTTCAAAAATTAAACTAGCCTATAGTTAATTCATGAAATTCTTGAAGATTCTTGGAACTCTGACGTCACTTGAACAGAGGGTGAGAAGAAACTTTTCTCAAGAAAATGGCCGAGTTTCTCACTGTATTTGGATCCAATTTCGAGAATCTGCCTACTTGCTAGGCAAATATGCACACATTTGACTTCAAAAATAAGTCATGTAAGTAGTAAGTAGATTTAATGATTTTATTGAGAGATTTGAACTTTTTCTAAAAATTGATTTTTTGACTGTCGGACAGCATGTGAAAAATATTTTAGCTCCCCCAGTGAACTAACCCTACTATCACACCAAACTACCAAACGGACTGGACGTACTTAGAACCGTTTTGGATCTATTTACAAACGTCATCGAACGTACTCGAACGGGTAGGTCCTCTAGAACTTAGACAATGCTCAAAATGTTTTCGTGGTCGTCACGTTCTACAATTAGAACGAGTGACAACGTACTAACGACGAGCTGGACGTACTACGAACGGAACCGTCGTACTTCAATCCTACTTGGGACGTTTTAACAACGAGTGGAACTGTCTGAGGACGTGTTGAGAAAGAGGTAGAACTCATTGCAAACGGGTTTAAACTGATTAAAACCCCATAGTAAGGACTGAGTTAAGAACGTATTTAACACTGCTTATGAACGAGTTAGCAAAAATATAGCTATCACACCAAACAAGTTGCCACTGCGTTCTTCAAAACTGGTTCTAAACTGTGTGCGAACGGAATGAACGTAGCTGCAACTTTCTAAGGTCTATTTACGAACTTTATGAACGTTCTCAGACGAAAATGTGATTTTAGAATTTTGAATCGATTCAAAATTCGATTGCAACCATACCGTTCTGTTATCAGGTCATGATGACCTTCTAGACTAAGGGACGCGTTCTACGGCGTTGCACACCGACGTGGTGCGACCTGAACGAACTGCGAACGAGATGGACGTATTGAAGACTGTTTAAGAACGAAGAAGCTAATTATTTCAGACATATTTCCCGACCACAGCCAGTTTGAGCCCGTTTTCGTAGGACTGGCAAGAACGGGTAAGAACGAGTTTGGTGTGATAGGGGGGTAAGTTCTTCGCCAGCTAAAATGTCACTCGACTTTTTGGCAATTAAAAGTCCCTGCCTGCATTTAGTAGTCATATATTGTCATGTGCATAATTTTGAAACCATATCCTAATTATTTCACAAACCCTTTGTTGATTCTGCCATAGTTTCCAATTTGTAAACAGCATTTAGCCTTTTTAATTGGGAACTTTTTTGAAATTTCCAAAATGGCTGCCATGTGATTCCAGAATTAACATGAGTGTGACGTGACATCACAGTTGCTCGTTCCTAGGTAACAACAAGATCACAATTGCTCGTTTCTATATAGCAACAAGATTTTTGATAAAATGGCACAGAATTACCCTGGGGGCCGTTCTTGGTACAATCGTAACTTACGACCGTCGTAACTTACGACTCGTCGTAAGTTTAAATATTTACGACCGAGTTACGACAGGTCGTAAGTTACGACCGCGATGTTTTTGGAAGCCGTCGTATCTTGGTCGTAAATAACCATACTTACGACCGGTCGTAAGTAGTTAAGTTATATCACATGATGCAAGGAGGATTGGCTCCCAGAATGCAACACCGATATTCTGCAAAACAATCACCTAGCGATAGCTTTGTTGGAGAGTATCGGGTCATTCTCCATGCAGTCGTACAAATTATACAGACACGAATAGCAAATGACGCATGCGTGGAGATTAAAGAATATCGAGTTGGAACCCTGGCTTCCAATCCTCCTTGACATGATGATCATGTGATTCTTTTACGCCTAAAAGTGCGCCATTACGAAATTTAGAATCAACGCGTCATTTGGAATTTTCAGAATATTTCCATACAGTATCAATCATTTTTATATTTACTTTTAATAAACATACTTAATAAGTACTTAACAGTGTTCGAAATTTATTCTAGCAATAATAATATTCAATACATAAAGGCTACAGTAACAAAACGGCATGCCACGTAACGTTAACGAACAAATCATCAAATTAATAGGTACACCATATGGTTAAATGATTAGTTTTTTGTCACCACTTGTTGGCGGCAATTGGCGGTCGGCGTCTGGAGTTTGTCGTCTGTAACAAATTGCAGGTGGTGATATTTTGTGTGGTAATTGCCTTGTTGATGTTTTTTAACTGATATGTTTCTAAGCTATGGGATGTTTTGAAAAAGGCGCAATGTCACCAGCGTGCAAAAATCTTTTTGCTTTTAGCCAAGTAGTGGAAGTCTGAACGACCTGTAATAAATGCATGGATCATCACAAAATGAAAGTCGTTCCTGTTTTTTAAATGACTAATAACAAAGTGTTACGTAATGAAAAAGAATAATCAAAATATGTCATCGAGTGGAGGGGGGTATACTTTGTAAGACATACTGTATGTAATTGAATTGCCGGGAACGAGAAAAAGGAGAATGGGTTCACTTCCCTCCAAAGGTTTGGCAACCTTAGGTCCCTCATTGAACTGTTTGAGTTTTCATTAACTGTACTTGCAATGAAAAAGGTAGAAGTAAATTGAATTAAATTCCTATTCCTCAATTACAATAGGTCGAAAATTGATTCATTTGATGAATTTTTGAAAATCGTTATTCCCATGTAGACTAACGCAAAATGGGTTCGGGGCAAATCAGTATTCAGAATATCTATTGTTGGATTGTCTAGTTTACTTTATGTACATTAGTTTACAGAGCTTCAGGGTTATTTTTGAAAATCATTTTTCGCCTCCTGGGTTATATCAATGTGGGACGTTCCTTGTGGCAAACCTACCATTTCCTATTTTACTGTATACGGGAATGTCGATCTTCAAAAATTCATCGGATATGTCATTTCCGACCTATTGTAGTCTTTGAAAAATTGAGAAAAATCAGAGGCATTTAAAATTCAAATTAAAACGCTTTAACACATGATCGGATAGGGGTTAGAATTGGCATACTCGTGGAGGGGAGTGTAGATCGGATGATGAGTGTTTGCATGTTATTTTCGTACATATTTTCTGCAATTCTGGCATGTGTCTCTCGTACTGTTGTAATTTGTATTTTAAAATTAATCTTGGGAAAATTTTTGTCTCTGTAGCATAATTTTGATTTTTGTGATAAGACCTGTTTTCCTGTGTATATGGCCGAGGCTCCTATCTCGAATACACCCCGCAGGGCTAGGCGCACGTTTTCTGTACCCCGAACGACTCTATTTTTTTTTTATTCCACCTTTTACTTAAGTTTATATTCAAACTGTTTGTAGACTCCAAAGGAGGAGCATTTTACGTTTACGCATTAAGCGCGAACTGCGCCGGTGTGCGAAGCAAGACCCCCCCCCAAACATTTTTGAAATTTACACTCTCTCTGGTGCAATCTGAGCATATTTGAACATG